TGGTAATGGGGACAAGGAAGAAAAGGAAAGTAGACATGTTCAGCCACAATCTTTCACTCTTTATGTTCATTCTTTTGTCATTGTGAGCCACTGCAAATCAGCCAATTAAATGTATGCCTTTGCTAGATAGGAGGGGAGCCAAGAAAAAAAGGACTGATGGTCCATGAAAAGAGTGAGTACCAGGAGGTAGATGACTGAGATTCTTCAAATTCAACTGTGGGCTTTGCTGCTGCCTGATTCACATCAGCTCATCCTTCTTTTTCTCCTTTCTTACTAGCTTATCCTCGTTAAAGTGATAAAAATAAAATATATCCCTTCAAGGAAGTCTGAAATCGAATTTTATTTTAAAGTACCACATTCAGCTGCAGGAGACTGATTTTTCTCTCTTAAAAGTTAGAAACCCAAAATAAAAAACAGCTGTTCTTACTCCCCCTTTCCTTGACACCTTGGCGCTTCACTATTTTCTTCCTTTTCCTTTGATAAAATATTAATATCTTTACCTCTTCTGCTCAACTCCTCAACTTTGCCCATACCTTAGCTTCCCCCCCCCCCTTTCATGAAGCTTTCTTACTGTGCATAGTGCTCTCTTTCTAGTTTTCTGGAATGATTCTTATAATGTTGTGTTTGGACGGGATTCTTTTGGCTGATCTCTTTAAGGTTTTGGTCCACTGGTTTCCAGTGTGGCTTTGTCTTGCATATTAAATGTGGCTCATAAATCAAACTTCAGCACGTAACTCTGCGGGGCCTTCTAGGGTGAAGCCACATCAGCACTTTTGTTTTTACATCTATAGCACTTCTTGCTGCACCTCAGAGGATGGTCCAGCAACAGTTACAAAGGTCTTCAGTTGAGCCAGAAGTATCTCCTTAAAACAAAGACCTAAAACCCAAAATCTATTTCACTAATTAATCAGTAGTAGAATATAGTGCTATGCCCATATATTCAAGAATTTTGACATTGATAAAAAAAAAAATCAGATTAGTTACTTCACTCTCTGGATAGAAACATTTGCAAACTACATTTAGTAGCTTTGTACTTGTGAAAGTGTAATGATAATAAAGTTAAATTCTATTCCATTCTATTTGACTTGGCTTTTTCCATAAAAAAGCCAGAAGCGATAGTTTGCCTACAGTAGGTCATTGTTTGGCATCTACTCTTTTTTGTTGTGTTTAAAAGAAGATTTTGAACAACAAAATGCCAATTAGTAAGTTTCTTTTCACCTATTTTAAACTGAACATAATTCATAAATAAACCAGGATAGAAGTACTGTAGAAAGAAGCTTCCTTAATGAGGAGCCAATAAGGTATCAGGCTGAGTAGAAGCAAGGCAATGTAATTTATTTAGACCTAAAAAGAGCCTGAATTTCATGCAAAACACGACACAGATTTGATTAAGTCTACCAGAAGGGCATTGACATGCGGCAACTGCTTTATATTGACCTAAAAGAACTCAAATCTCAGATTATATACCTGGGTCAAAGCAATGTAGTGTTTCTATAAAATGGTTTTCAGGTTTTACTATTAAACCACCTGACTTGCCTCATCTTTTCATTCTCTGCTGATTAAAGAGAAGCAGGTCGGTCTTCATTTTCTACATGTCTCCATTAACACATATTCTTGCATTAGTTTGGTGTGGAGTGCTCAAAATAACAGCATTATCTGCTTTTGTTCTCTGTCAGCACTAAAAAGACGGTGTCATTTACACAATGAAAACAATGATTTCTTTGATTGGGCTATTCTTAATGGAGAGTAACAGTTGTAGAATGACAGCTCAGTAGAAATCTGTGATTACAGGGCTATTAATCACACCAAAAACGCAAATTATAGATGGGACATTGTAGGACTTTAAATCGTGAATAGTGCAATGAAAGAGGCTTAGAAAAATAAAATGAAAGAGCAATGAGAGACTAAGCAATAGTTGTTCCAAGTTTTGAAAAATAACATTGATGTTTGTGTTGGGAGGCGTTTGGTTCTCATAAACTTTATGTTCTTATGGGGCGATAGAAACAAGCTAGACATGCTGTTACATGGGGCCTTATGGGTGGTAATAAATAAAAAAAATATTATCAGGTGAATTAATTATACATGTATCAGATATTGACCAATAATATTATCAAAGCATTCTTAGTTTGGTTTCTATTCCCATTCTCAACAGTATTAATAATGGCAAAAGACCAAATATATTAGTTCATTTCAAAAGCAACAATATCAGAGAGCACAGGAAAACATTCGGTGGAAAAGAAAATCCATTAGCCCCTTTCCGTGTGAGGGCAGAGAAAGTAATATATCGGAGTGGCCAAGCAGAAGATATGCAATAATTCCAGGTCGACGCATTTTCAGCCTTCAAGATAATCTATTGGAAACTGGATGACGGTGAATATGACGCTCTCCTACTTCGACTCTGTGTGTGATAGTGATACATGCAGAGTCATATCAGTGGGCAGCAACAGTTTACAACCGCCACACACAGGAGGAAAGATAGGAAAAACATCCAGTGTGGTAATTTAGCAGGAGGTTGTACATCAACAACACAGGCATACACAGACCTTGACGATCAGGACAAGAAAATAGCACTTTTAACTGCCCCCTTCCTCCACCCTTTAGTGCACCCATCTGTCGACCCGACCACCCATCCATCTTCCATTCCTATTTTGTTAGACCTGGCAGCACACTGCTGTGCAACTAAAACAAATGCAGCTACAACACACTTTTTACTTTATGGAACAGATTTGAAAAACATAAAGAAATGGTAGTTAGACAGGGAAAGATTTAGTTGCAGAGGTACTTTCTGAATATGAACAGTAATACTACCATTTATTATATATGCTGGTGCAATTTCTCAGTCATCCAGGTCATGGTAACAAAAAATGGGTTAAATTGTGGCAAAGACTCCTGAATAGGTGTCAAACTGAAAAATATTTCATGTCTAAATCAGAAAATCCATGCTACATTATCAGTGAGTTATGCAACATCACATCCGTGACATGGCAAAGAAATCATTAACTCTGATAAAACTCAGTGGAACAAAGACTCAAATACCAGCTGAGAGAAGGTTGGCTACTTCTTCCTGTATGTTTAACACAGGTTGCAGTAAAAGCATAAATGCTACACTTATATATAAGTTATTACTAGTATTTTATGTTAGCATTTTTTTAATCGCTAATTTCCAAATTTGTTCAGGTGGCTGCAAAGTGGAACAGTTTATAGTTCTGCTGCCTTACAGCAAAAAAACAAAAAAAACATGGGTTTGAAGCTCAGCCAGGCCTCCTTGGATGGAGTTGGCATGCTCTCCCTGTGCATGGATGGGTTCTATTTAGGCACTCCAGCCTTCTCCGGCAGTCCCAAAACATGCATGTCGGGTTAATTAGTCTCTCTAAATTGCCTATAGGTATGAGCAATTGTTTGTGTATGCACGGCTGATTGTCCTCTTTGTCTGTGTGTTGAAACAGTCAGAGGTATAGTTTTTAACCCATGAGAGATAAAATGTGAAACCAAAGAAATTACATCTATCATTTATATACTTTCAACAAAGTGTTTTTTTTTTCTCTGTGAATGCTAATCAGCAGCTTGGTATGAAAACAATGAACAGGATTGTGACGCACCTGACATTAAAGGTATAAATAGCACAAAAGGCTCCCTGTAAATGTCATGATGGGTTATTTGAAATGCTCAGCTTTGTTGTGCTAATCTAACATCAGTGCTAACTCATTCCTTTAGCTCTTCGTGTCCTGCAGCTGCTCAACCTTCTCAGAGGTTTAGATGCTTGTTTACAAGAGTTTCTTTATAGAAACAGCAACACGTGTGCTAAATCTTCACCTTCACACACATCATATACAGCAACCTCTTGTCAACAAACAGGAATCATGCAGATAGTCACTCTAGATAGACCAGATCTCTGTTCAGAGTGGTATTTAAATATTCATTATGTTGATGCTGCCCACTTGTCCAATTCGAGATTAGCTATCGATTATTTAAAGCATGTCTTCAAACCAGATTTAATGGGCATCTGTGCAATGCAGGGTAACTCATCAGGGAAGTCAAATTTATTGTGTCTGCATTTGCTGTTCTGCACATCATTGCCCAAGTTGCAAATTTGCCCTTTGATGCTTCAAGTTACCAAACTAATAATGTCTTTATGTGGCTGGGTGTGTTTTCAGACCAAGTAAACACCTCAGAGACTGAGCTCACGCTTATTAACACTCAGGCCAGAAAATAATTAACCACAGCAACATTCTGCTTGGGTGCTTGATTAAGGAGCAAATCTGCCAATTTTTGATTTCAGACATTTATTATTAAAGGCAATAAATCATGTCATGCAGAAAATTACTGCTGAAAAATTTATCAGTAACAAAACTTTGAAGGGTTGCATCTTTAAAACCCTCTATCATTTCAATAAAAGCTGCATTTTTAAGGCTCTAATCTTAACTTTACAAAAGGACAACAATAACCACTGAGGTACTAAGTGCATCATATGGTTTTTCTCTTTTTTATCCTTTTGCATTGTCATTCAGTCTACTAAAAACAATACAAATTCACCTCTTATAATAATGAATTTAACAGCATATTACACTTCTCAAAGTTTTTAGTCTGGATCTAAACATGTAGTGTAGTCTAAATCCCTTAATATTGTTGCACACATCCCCCAGAGAACACATTTTGAAAGATTAGCAAAAAAGTTTTAACTTTTTCTAAACTTAGTTGAACAATGTCTGAATTAAAGCTAACAGGGTTAATTGGAACTAGTTTAAGAATTCTAAGATGACCCTCTTTAAATGTTTGGAACAAAAGTCTTTCAATCTGCATTAGCTGATAATGTACTTTATCAGCACTGCTTTGCACCACTTACAGCTACGTTACTTGGACAGGCTTGGACATGCACTTTAAAGTAATGCAGTCTTGACAGCTAAGAGAGTCAATCATCACCTGATGATTGCATTGCCCTCCCATGTTACAAGTATGAAACAGCCATTAGCACCAACTGTGTGCTTGTGTGTGTGACTTACTTAAGTCCTGGTGAGACCGTGACACAGCTGCCTGACTTGAGCCAAATGCAGTAAGGGTCCCGTGACGACAAACAGCTTCTGCATAACAGACACACAGATACAGTTTGTTAGTGGTAGAAGGAAATGAGGAGGCCATCGAGTGTGAAGAGCACCGAGTGAGCTGGATGTTAGCCTGGTAATGAGACACTACCCTGCCACTGAGCCGACCAAACAACACCTATCACCCTCTTCTGCTCTGCCTTAACAAAGCTAGAAAAACAGGAGATTTTCTAGCTGTTTGCAGCCCAGCACAAATGATAGACCTGAAAGTGTAGCGTCCTTCTAGCCAAACTTGTAACACTATAATTACTGCATTGTTTACTGTATCAATTAGGAACCCCAAAAACAAGCAATTGTTTATTAAATTTTAAATATGAAAAATGGTTATGGTTTGGACAGATTTAACAGTCATTTTAAAAGCCTTCCAGTCTTTATTGTGGTTTGTTTCTATTCAAAGTTTTAGATCTACTAAAATCTGTATTGTTTGCAGCAAACAGGGGCTGAAACACGGGCCAAACAGAATATACAAAAAAAGAGCTGGAACTCAGTGACCATCTTTTAGCTATAAATTTGAGACAAACTGAGGTTTTTGACCCCAGATTTGTTGATAAAAAGTTTAACTATTGTGTGCAGATGGGATTTATTGATATGGCGTCTAATTAAAGCACATGTGAATTCAAAGCAGCCATTTAAAGGTTAGGGGATTGTCAACATTTTTCATTTGAAAATTTAGTAAAAGTAAAGTAGATGATCAACAAATAGAAACACTCACTAGTTGATCTAAATGTTAGGTTGTTTGTAAGCTCCTGGTTTATATTTTGAGGGATTCTTATTTCCTTTTCACTATAACACTGAAACAACATCTAAAAGTGTTTTGTCTGCAAGGTATAACTGAAGGTAATCTGTGGATCATCATTATCCAACCAGATTTCTGGAGTAGATCACATGCTTTACCATCAGTTTCATGTTTACAGTAAGCAGGTTGTTTATCCATGCGTTTCATGGCTCTATATAATTGCTGTGATTGAATTATTAACATGAAGACTCTGACTTTCATACTTCCTCAACTTAAAGCCACCTGCATTAACAAAATCAATAGCCATTAGTCACAATCTCAAAGGTAAAAGTCTATGCAGAATCCCAGCATTCAGAGCTTTTCCTCTACTTCCAGATCAATGGCTTATTTCCACTGATTAAAATTACCCCGCCCCCCCATTCTCTTTAACTAGTGTTTGTTTTTTTAAAATTTGATTTAAACCGTTTTAGGGTTGTTGTCTCTCACAGCTTGAGCTCCGTGGATCTTGTGGCCCTCCTTCAACCACTATAAAACTCCAGAACAACACTGGGTAAAAACTAGCATCAGAGCATTATTTTTCACAGCTGCACAAGTTGTTGTCTGCAGGAGTGTGGCACTCACCCAGCAGCGACAACATAATGAGCATAAAGCACACAGTGACAAAAGAACGGCGGCAAACAATAAAACGCTTACGTGCTTCCTTCTCTGTCAAACCGAAAACCTCCGAGGCAGTCGGGTTTAAATAAGTTTTAATGAGGTGGCCTGTTTTGAGAGTCTGAAATGATTTATGAAGAGTTGAACTGACTGTGCACTGTGTGCATCTTCATCCCTGGCCTGTAAAATCTGGTGAGGAATCCCACTGAGAACATATCAGTGTGTCAGCTTAGAGCAGGAGGAAATCAAGAAAGGAACTATTATTCCCCTGCTGCTCCTAGAGCTGCAAGCTAAAAATACATTTAAAAGGGCGGGAAAGATTTTTGGACAATATCTTTTTTTTCTCTGGTGAATATTTAATACCAAACAAAAAGTATGGCATCAAACAAAAATAATTCATTTATTTGAAAATAGGTCACTAAACATGCACAAATAAAGCAAAGAAAAAAAAATTGTTTTACTTGACCTTTTCATTCATGTGAACCATTTCAAGGCAAGAATTATTCAAATATGGCAGGCTCTTAATTGTTTATAGGACTGCAAAAAATGACTATTTTATCTGTAGATGATTAATTGATTAATAAACACACAACGAAGGTTTCCCTAAAGAAGATTCTATACAGACTTTAAACCAGATGAAGCTATAACTAGGCCAATGGAGGAATTTTGGATGGAGCATATTTGAAACAGCAATTGTTTTGTTTTAATAAGTACTGCTCTTAGTGGGTTGCTCTATCATCCAATGGAAGTGTGTAAGCTCTATTTAAAGATGAATTGATTGCTAAATTAAAGCATTATTTTCCATGATAGTATAACATGATTAATTCTATAAATTGTTTCAGCCCTAGATATAATATACTTCAGTAACTTCCGAAACTTAAGTTGTTAATAAAGATTTTTCTACCCAAAACCAATGAACAATGACTATTACATTAGACCAAGACAGAACATGTGTATGACAGAGATGCACACATGATGAAAAGAATGTTTAATACACCTTTTCATAAACATAATACAATAACGTAATATATGATAATCTATTACAATATAATATAATACAATATGTATTATATTATATTGTAATAGATAGAATAGTATACCTACACTTTATAACATTTAAATTTCTATTCCAGTGTATAAACATAGAAAGAATGATAATTAAGTGCTTAAAAGTATTGCAAAAGTTAACAAACTTCTAGTTTTTCTAGAGTCCCTTTTCTTTACCTTCTATTTATTGACTTTTAACTTTTAAAAATTGTAGAATTTATTATACAAAAAAAAAGAAAAAGCAAAGTGCAAGTTATGAACATTAAACCAAAAAGGGAATATATTTTGTTGATAATTAACAGTTCACAGATTAGGGAACTGTGGTTACTGAAAAGCTCTAATGACTGTCCTCACTGTCTGGGCTGCCAATATGTGGCACTGCATACTAAAGTGCTACTTTAATAAATTATTCATACACTCGCCATAAGGTATATATGCAGATTTCTCTCTATTCTGCCCCTCTTCTCTCCATCAGAAGCATTCATTTACAGCGATCTGACAGAACTGAACGACAACCCTGAAGCAACTTGCCTGAAAAGGCCAGCTGGAGTTTCAGGGAAAGAAGCACTATGAAGTCCTTTCTTGTTCTTTTTTCCTCTAGCTGCTACAGTATACGTGTAGTTGTTGGACCCCACAGATCCATGTTTGCTCAGTGTTGCTCATTTAAACCAATGCATGTGTGTATGTGCAGTCTTAAGCTAAAAGGAACATCAGTTTAGCTGCTGAGGGTCTCTGTGACTAACATTCATTCTGCCAAAAATCTCTGGAAAAACTAAATTCAGATTTACTGGAAACTAGTTCAGTTACAGTACTATGAGACTCTTCTGGGAAAAAAAAACCCAACAAAAAACACTGCAGTACTTTATTATAACCCTTTAAGGGCTTTAACAGTGTTAAACTTCACTTACAGTAATGATGTTAATTATATTATTAATAAAACAATTGTGTTCTCAACACATTCTACTTCCAATCGTTCAAGCTCAATATAGCCAGTTTATTTAAAAAAAAGTTTGATATCACATTTATAGCCTTTAATATGAAAACTGTGGAAGGAAGGAAGGAAGGAAGGAAGGAAGGAAGGAAGGAAGGAAGGAAGGAAGGAAGGAAGGAAGGAAGGAAGGAAGGAAGGAAGGAAGGAAGGAAGGAAGGAAGGAAGGAAATATGTGATACAGCCACATAAAAGGTTCTGGAATAAACAAACAAAAGAAAGAAAAAAAGAGTAAAATTGTTTTGTTTAATTAATGTTTTTACTTTAACATCCCCCAGTGTGAACCTTTATCCAGACAAAGACAAGTCTAAAGTGTATACGAATGTATTTGCTGTTAATATGATCAACATCAAGGTAATTTCTCATAATTTTTCCCCAAAGATGTTTGAAGCCCGGTTTAAAATGCACATTTTTTAGAATTATGGAAATTTCTCTTACTCTACGTCGGAGTCATTAGAGTTCAAACTATAAGGCTTAAAGCCTTCTATCACGAACAGAGAATGAATCATAATTAGACAATGATTAGCTGGGTATCTTACAAGCAAAACAACACATTTATTTCTATGTTCTGCACTGCATTCTAGTAAAGCACACTGACCTCATTTCCTTGCTTTAAAAAAAATATTGCGTCCCCTTATTATCAATCAAATAACTATGGAAAGAAAAACAATGGATATTTTCAAACGGGGTTAGTTCATTGAGTTCATATGAGACAGGAAATGTAACTGGAAATACTTCTGGGGCTTCTAAGACTTTCAGGGTTTGGGGCCGCTTCCCGTCTTTTATTGTATATTTTTATTAAAATCCTCCAGTTTATACAGTTGCCTGCTGCTGTTTGAGATATAGATGTTTTTTTTTTTCCTGAAACCTGATATTGGCGGTACGAACCAGGGTGAAGAAAAACAACACAAAACAAACCTGATAATGCTGTCTACGGTGAGGGGGAGAAAGAGAAACAAGTCAAGATTCAAGAAAAAAATGCGGTCAGAAATAGAGAGCGCTGATGTACCACTGATCTGGAGTCAGATTCACTGGTGTGTTTTTGGAGGATACGGTGTCAGAAATCTGACCTCCTGGCTGCTGCTGCTGATGCGGCTTACGGGGCCTCTAATCTAAGCATGAGATGTGCTGTGGCTATAGACTCTAAAAGGGATCAGGGGATGTAGCCAGGCTGTAAGCTTAAGGAAGAAAATACAGCTAGATCCCAGCTGCCTCCGCCTCGTTCCTGCTTTTCCTCCTCTCCTCTATCCTAAAAAAGCCAATGCTGGCAATCCACCAATCAGCTGGAACCAATTTCTGACTTAACAATGTTGAGAGCTTCTCCAGACCTTTACAATGAGGAGTTTGCATGCTATAGGGGTTTACACACTCCCAGAAGAAACTGAAGAGAGAAGAAACCCCTCCTCTATTTCGGCGGAATGAAGAGTGGGGTTGCAAGAGGCCAACATTCCTCACTGCCCCAAAAATAGATCATGAAACTGGAAACCTACTACATTAGCTGGGGCAACACACAGTCTGTTAAAACAAAGGGGCAGAAGTCAAAGGGAGACACTAGGATGCTGCTGTGTATTGTTTTTAAAAATTTGCTTTTTGATAGTTTTTCTACTCTAAAAAAAGTCTGATTAACTAATAATCTTTCTCAAACTTGTCAAGTTGCAGATGGATTAGATGCACAAAAGACAAACAGAGTTAACAACTGTTCATCTTTTAATAATCATTTTTTGGCATCCTATTATTTTTTAATCATGACAATGTTACTACAGGCTGTTATTGTAACATAACCTACAGGAGTCTAACAAACTATCACAAAATTTACCCATTTGTTGAGCTTTTTCTACTGATAATGATCCTTTTTTATGCATTATTAATGTTTTTTTTTAAAAAGCTTAGTTAGTTCCAGTTAGTTTCAACAGCAAATAAAACAACCCACCTTGTGAGTCAGAGCAAGCTCATGATTTGATCACTGCACTCGATGTAACAGATAGCTTATTATTCACTGGTATGAGGTAATAGCGTGGGTAAAACGAAGTACTGAACTAATCAACGTTTTCCTCATTAAATACGTATTTCTGTGAGGAAAAACACAGGTAACATAAACAGGCAGGGAAATTAAAACAAATTAGCCCATAAATCAATGTTTAATGAAGCGGTCTGGTAAAGGGAACAAGAACTACATGGAGAAAAAGAGGTGAAGCCAAGAAACCATCTGATATATTATCAACAGTATTTAGAAAGCATTCCTGCTGCAGTTTAATATCAATTGGTAGCCAATAAAACAAAGATTTTAAAGTCCATGCATTGCAGAAAGTGGTAAACTGGTAAAAGCAGAGAATGAGGATGCAACAGCTACAGCTGCACTTCTAAACTTAACAATTTTCCAGCAAGCACATCTCAATCCATAATCCAGAACCATAAAACTCCTAATTTCCCCATAACTTTGTTTGTGGGCTATAATGTCTTTATAGGTGTGGATTATATGGATGGTTTTCGACATATCAGTAGAAACGTTAAAAAATACAGCTTCTAAGAAAAATGTTTATATTTTTAAGTAGCTTTTGTACCAGCTGTATATATTAAGAGATTATAACTTAATGTTTTAAAACTTTTTATGACTTCAGCATTGAACAGGATACAGTAGAAACAACTGATTTAGAAAGAATAAGAAAAGAAGGAAGAGAAGGATTTCATATCTGTAGATTTTAACGAATAACAGCAAAGGTTCGGGAATAATAGAGATCTAATATTAATACTAATAATAACAACATAGAGCTGTTCTGAGTAAATAAAATCTAAGTCTAAGGAATAAGGGATGAAGTTTCAAAAGCATCAGAGATGCGAATGGAGATTTGTCGAGGAAGCATTTTCCTTGTGTCTTCAATAAGTTCCACATCTATTAGGTGCCTCTTCATAGACAGTTAGCTTACAGTTGTCTAATTTCAACTTCACAAAGATCCAACTACATTTTCAACTCCAACATTTTTATGGTTTCTAAAAAATAAACAATTAAAAAGAATCAACTGGAAACTCATCAAAGTTCCATTATAATGTGTGTTAATTGGTGTTACATATAGACACACATTTGCACTTTGTGTATTTAAATTTATAAAACATGTCTACATATGAACAGAACACTTGCAGATGACTTTCTGCTCAAATCCCTGAACAATAATACAAAATATCTGAGACAGTTTCTGGGGTAAATATTAGATGGAAGATGAACAGAATCTCTATGATCAACTAATGCAGGGTATACAGTTTTCGAGATTTTGCCCTTTTCAGGGCGATTCTCCAATCGTGCGAGAATCTTTATGGGTCGGGCCGAGTTTCTGCCTCATCGTGCATTCTCTAGTATATCTACAGGGGTTAATGAGGGCCGATTAGCCTCGTACAACCGCCTCCGGATCAGGAATCTTAAGGTCGGGAGAAAATCAAACATGGTGGAAATTCTGTCTGCTTTCGTTAAATCCTGCTATTGAAGCAGAGCTACGAGGGTCAAGTCGATTTACCAGAACCTAGACCACTGCACATGTGCAAACAAGGGAATTCTACTTCTTCCAGATTAACAAATCTGACCAGCACCATCTCTCGGTGCTGACTCCAACATGTGGTTTTTTGGATGTAGAGCATGAGCAGTTAGATCGCATCAGAGCGCCATTCTGTACAGTTTACGAACATACTGTACATAATGAGCTGTGATCTATTAAACCCTGCGGTTTCATCATACAGTTTGAGCTGGAGCTGAGTACAATGCTCGAAAATATCATACAACTTAGGCCTGGCTTAACTAATGAGGAAGTTGGAACTGAGGAAGGGAGACTACATGACATCAGCTAATTTATGTTAATGTATTTAAAGGTTGCTATTGTGCAAAGTAATTTTAAATTAGGATTAGAAAAATTCCAGCTGCAATACATTAGTTCAAAATAGAGTAAACGACAATGATAGTGGATATGATTTTAATAGAACTTTTGATTATTTAGATCTATCTATGTAGATAAGCGGCTGACTGGTTCAGGCTAGCTCAACTGTTAAGTCATCTGACTTACACACAGGAGGCCTCGTTTGAATCCCCACTGGGACAATAAGCTACCAGTGTGGGTCCTTAGGCAAGATCCTTCACTCTAGTGCCTACCTCATTTTTAAGTCGCTTTGGATAAAAGCGTCTGCTAAATGCAGACCTTGCATAAACATGTAGATAGATCTACAGTAAATATCTATCTACAGTATGTATCTACAGTCAATAAAATAACTTAAAAATTTAAAAAGTGACTTCTGGATTGTGACTAATGTTTGACTGAAACTATTTAGAATTTGTTCAATGACCTTACAGCCTTAACAACTCTATGTACAACCTTTCATTCAGCATTGAGACATACAACATAATAGTGTACATTTTTGGCACAGAGAGCTGGATTGCATTGTACTTGGATAATTAGCCAATACTAATGTCCAGACTGTTGTTGTATATTACTTGCAGTATAAGTGCTACTGTAAGAAATATTCTCTATATTGTGGAGCTGTAACAACAATCCAGTAACCATTGAAGCTAAAAGAAAGCTGCTGACAAGGAAAGCCAATAGTTGTGACAATAGTGACAATGTAGAAGTACAGGGTGGGTGCTAGATACTTCTATTGAGTTGTATAGATCAGAGGAAAAGGAGATGTAAGAAGCTTTTAAAAACCGAGTTTTTTTGTTTTTTTTTCTATTACATGTTGAAACATGTCTGCGTTATATTCAGGCTATTAGAGAGAGTGTCAGCAAATAAAGGTGAATTTTTAACAGTAAATCCGTTTGTCTGCTTTAACATTCCCTCTCTGTCCTGAAACATCTTGGAGTATATAATAGCAGACTTTTGGAAGTCCAAACATTAATCTCCAAAGCTTTATGCTCCATGTTTTACATGTGTTCCTTTTCCAACAAAGCTGATTTAAATATCTGAATTACCTCATTTTGGATAAATAGCTTGGAAATAATTTCTGAAGGAGCCCATCAGTGACCCGTTCCTTTGGGTCAGGTAAGTTAAAAAGGGGAAACATCTTAAATATTCAAGACATCGACCCTTAGGGACACAATCTGGTCACCAATGATCTTTTTACTGATTTTGCTAATGGTAGCAATGCAGTGAGGAATGCTGACATAAATGTACAATATTCTTAAAAATATAGTTACTTCTGAAGTTACTTAAATGTGAGATTTACTCCTATTATTAAAAACATTATCAGACATTAGGAAGGCCAAAAAATGTTTTCAAACATTGCACTGTCTATTATTTCTTCAAAAATCTAAATCTACTAAAATCTTTGACAACAAAGTTTGACCAAAAATAAAACAAGGAAGTAAATTTAGATGAATGCTTCTACAGGGTATTATGCATACTCTGTATAGTAGTATTAATAAAATAATAAGGCCATCTCAAAGTTACTCACTTTTTGCAGTTTGTGTATTCAGAGCAGCGGCTGAGTGGAACGCGGATCACGCAGCTGGAGAACGCCACGAAAAGAGCGTGGTGATCCCGGTCCAACTCCAGACCCAGAACCCTCCTGTCCTCTCCTTGCACGTTGCACCTAAGAACAAGAATCAACGAAAAAAGTCTCAATCTGGCGTTTAGTACACATCCTCTGTATTATACAGCACATCAAAAGTCAATTTAATTTCATGTTGATCAGGATTTCAAGCTGTGACAAAAGATGAGGCGGGAATAAAACCTCCAGCTGTACAAGATGATGCAAAGTGTAACAACAGACTGAGGAGTGTGTGTGGGACGGACGGATCAAAGCAGGACAAGAAGGATGAAAAACAGAGAAAAGAAAAAAAACTAAATCTATGAACAAATACAGTCGAAATAAAGGAAATTACTGAGAAAACATTGCTAAACACAAATGATAACAAGGATGTGTTCTCTGACTTGTTTGGGTTGTAGACGTCGATGTCTTCGAGGAGATGGGTGTTGAAGGAAGCGTTGGCTCCCTCTGAGCTGGCCAGGATCTTGAGGACGTGACCGTTATCCGAGCCCAGGAACACCACCGTGTAGTTCTTAAAAGGTCCAGCCGATGTATCGACAGCTATCTGGGTCAACTTAAACCTTAAACGAAAAAGAAAAAACAACAACACAAAACTATTAATAGTGTTTGTTGTGAAAATGTTGGTTTTCAGCGGTAAACAAAACCAAGAGTGGGCGACCACTGAGCTCATTGTGTAATTCCTCAGTGTGCAATCAATCAATTCATCTGCCAACCCACCATCCCCTTCTTCCATCGCCTACTCCCTTTAATCCCTTCATCCTATTAATGCATCAATCCGTCCACCCACAGCCATTGAATCAATGTATCTTTCATGCTGTTCAGCCACTTTTCCACAGTCTGTTTCTCAGCCCTAGATTTCAACTTTCTCCTTTGTTGTTTTACATTCATGAGGTTGTCTGGTGACTGCTGCTTCATTTCAGCAACACTCTGCTTCATATTCAAGACGTTCCTCGTGGTTCCACCTGGGATCTGACCGGTATCTCCACAGCCGTCTACTGCTGGCTCCACCGGAGCTGCTGAGACTTGCAGGCTTTGAAGGGCACCTTGAGTCCAACGCTTGCTGAGAGATGCATAAGCTCTACTAATTCATTTTCTACGACTGCACTTTGACTCTACAGCATGAGGATTTATACAAACAAACCTCGACAAATAATGTTTTTGGCAACCCAATTCTTCCGGATCCTTCCTCTGAGGACAGTTTCCGTGCCCTCATTTGTCTCAGCGACCCCCCAGATGGTCCTGCATAGGCTGCTGTGTTTACCCACACACACACACTTGACTGGCAAGCCTCTGTAAGAATTCGGCAGAACAGCGTGATGCGTTTTTGGTGGGATTTCATTTATCTAGCAGGTCCCAGGGGAAAAGCACGGCAGATGTGATGTTTTTGGCGCCAGATGTGAAGCGGTACACGTTTCCCCAGCGTGGAACCACGGCAGTGTCTGGCTGGCTGTCAGCCTGGCTCTGCTTCAGGAAGCACAGAGGCAGCCGCTGTGTGTGTGTGTGTGTTGGTGTTTAAAGGCTGTATCTGATGTGTGAACACCCCCGTCTGAGGCCTATGCACTGCTGAATGAAACACTTGTGGCACTTCATGATTCCACGTCCACCATATCGTCGTCTGCCATCAGCGCACTCTCAATGTCACAACAAGCAAAAGGCCCCCCCACACAGCCCCCCGGCTCCCTGCCTGCGACGGAGCGCCTGCAGGTCAGGGCTGCACTCGAAGAAGACCCCATCTCTGTGAGTCTCGCTTTTGATGTGGGCCGAGATCGACCGCTGAGTAAATTCAATGGGCTTTAATGAGGTACAAGGTTGAGTGTTCCACCTGAGCTCACTCGTCTATACCAATCACAGGCCTGCGCGTGAAAACACTGCTGGTGCTGTAGACCATGTTGTTCCAGAGAATACATGCTTATAGCTCATTAAAGAAATGACCACTGCTTCATAACCCTCAAACTCTGAACAGGAATACACCAGTTAATTGGTCTATTTTCCTCTGATTTTATTCAGAAATTGAGGCCTGCACAGAGTACACTGTGTACACTATAAACAGCTGCAAAATAAAGTTTGAGAGGCCCCAGGGAGCAACATTAACTTCTGAAAGGATTAGCAGGGTGTTCAGTAGATAATCTGTTCATAACTAAGATTATTTTGTAGTTTAGTAAAGGTTAGTATTTTAAAAGAAATCAATGCAAAAATGGTGTTTAAAATAGTTTCTGTGCTATATTGCAGCTTTTGCTTGGTGTATGATGAAAAATAGCTAGTATATCTAGTTTAAATACCCTTGAGATGCACATCTTAAAAAAGGAGGTATTCTATTTTTCTCTCCTTTTTCTGCACAGAAACTTCAACACCTCCAAAGCTGAAACATTTATGTCACATTTATGACAGATAAAGTGCCTATTTGTGACCAAAATTCATTGTAGGAAAAAAATAGTTTAATGCAAGGAATCTCTGTTCAAGTTTTATGGGATGAAATATATATGATCCAACATTAAGAAGCACAGAGTGGACTGAAAAATCATAGAAAGGATGGACATGTTGATTAGATGATTTCTTATTAGACTGTATAAATAATTTGACTTTAAAATCGTAATTAAAGGCCTTAAATGGTTCAATAATATACATGATGGATGTAAATCTTAACATTTTAAACATACCTCAACTCTCTTCAACCAGCAATTGTAATCCTATATTGCTAGTATTGATCCCCCCATCTTTCTTTGCATAAGCGCTTTGAATTTTGGCAGTTAAAACAAGGATTTGTAGTAGGCAAACCCTCTTCAGTGACCCCAGGAGATGGAGTTTAAATGTAGGTTCCAGCTCAGCTACACTATGTCAACATTTTGATTTTATTCAGGAAAGTCTTTTTTTTTGTCTACATTTTTTAAAGGGATCATAGAATGCAAAACTGAGTTTATATTGTCATAGATGAACGATAGTTCAGTGGGTGAAATGGATGTACAGAGAATTTCAAACCCCATCAACACCTCCTTTCTCTGCAAATCTCAGTATTCTAAACTTCCACCATAAAATGGGCAAATCCAAACGAAGCACCAAATTGACATAAACTCGGGGATGTTGCCTTATCTGGTTCTGGCCTGTACTTTAGTCACGCCCCGAAATTGACGTAAAGACCAGCCGCCTGGTTCACTGCCCCAAGGAAGGGGGGTACGAAGTGTTGACTGCTGGGCCGCTGACTGACTGGACCGGACCTCAGCAGAGAGCCATGATCCGCCCGTCCTCAGCGGGAGGAGGGTGGCTAGGGGGCCGGTAAGGCAGGCGGGGCGAAGCACTGGGCCGCCTGTTTCCAGGCAACCGTCACCTGGTTGGGTACAGTCGCTCTGTCCCCCGCTGGCTCCCTGCCCCCGTCCGCCGGGGTTCCCGGACCAGCCCTGGAGTTGACGGTTCGGTTCGAGTGCCCGGGGTGTCTCGACTACGTGCTGCACTCTAGTCGACCAAAATCCCAGACGATTTTGAAATTCCACCAGGACATTGTTTTTTTAAGGTATGAATAGTAGGACATGTCCAGGAAAAAGAGGACATCTGGTGATCCTACCATATCAACAATTTGATGTTTCAGTGAGTGAGTGCTTGTTGCTTTGATGAGTCTTTGCACAGCAGCTTCGCTAGTTGTAAACCAACCAATCAGCACACAGCTCATCTAAATATTCATGATCATACCACAAAAGGAAGTAAACCTGTGATTTCATTGTAGGGCCTTTAACCACGCTTGCATTAGGGCTCATAGAACAGCAAATATTCACAGACCTTAAGGACCAGCACCAAATACCCTGTATAATCATTCTATGACCACTATAAAAACTGAAAAGTAAGCCCAGAGCATGATGCAGCCACCACTATGTTTTATTGTGATTGCTTTGTTCCTTCCATTTTTATTTTGACAGTTTTTACATTTATTTTCCTTTTGCAAGTCATACATATAACAATTGTAGCAAATAAAGATAAATTCTTAGTCTTATGAAAGACAGGCTCACTTTATTTCGATTCAGATCAGAATAACTATAATTTATGTCAGATGTGCGCTTCAGATGAAACAGTGCTGAAATATAATGATGTTGCTTTAGAATCATGTAAGGTTTTGGTTCTGCATGCTTATGCAACCTGATAACTTGCAATTTTAAGCCATTATCCTTCTTCCTTTAATAGGTTTTGCGTCATTTCAACAAAAAATTTAATAAACATAAGGGTTGGCAAAGATTTCTAAAGGGTTTGCCATGCGTTATTTTTGCCATATCTAAAATAGTTTACAGGGGCGTGAATGATACGCTTTTTATATCAACTTTATGTTAACACGGTTAAGTACAGTATGAGCAGGCTGATAACAGAACATGTTAGTAGTGATCATCTTTTTTTTCTTTTCCCTTAATTCAGAAACACTGTCTTTAGTTTCCGTCTGAAGTTCAGTAATTTGGGTAAAGCATCTACCTGCTGGTGGTGCAGGTAAAGAAGGGTCTGTCATTAACTGAGGGGACAGACTCGTCCATAAGCGGATAAGACTTGATGAAAGTCAGGGTCTCGTCTGGGAAGGTGGTGGAGGACTTGAAGGTGGCCGCAGAGCCTTCGCCGGCACAGCTGCCTGGCCTGTGCGATAACAGTAAAAAAGAGGGGGGAAAAACAAGACATAAATCCCGTTCAACAAGCACAGATGCAAAAACACTTGCATGCCATTTGTTTTTCCTAGACGAGCAGGAGGGAAGAACAGGTGCTTTATGTGTCTGTTTTGTTTTATTATTTTATATTTTCTACAGACGTCTGAGCAGAATAATAATAGCAGCTGCAAAATCTCTTTTGTCAAAGACACAAAGACATGCTGTAGGAAAGTGACAGTTTGCAGTTTAAAAGACGCATCTCTCACCTCGGCTTTGGTACTTGTTCTTCCAGAACAGGTGTCCATGCTGACTCACTGTTTCTCTGCTCCTTAAATTTCCCATTAAAGGCCTTCTCTATGTCGTCCATATAAAAACCGCACACTGCTGAGCCGGTGATGCTGTTCAATGAACCCCAAAATAAGGAGATATTGTAATGAACAAAGTGAAGGTCTGAAGACAGTCAACTTGTTAGTAATTTTAAAAACACATTTAAAGCTAATGTGTTATGTGGAGCCTTAATCTAAAAAAACCTCTGAACATATCAGTTGACAATATCTGGTATAGCCTGACTAAATGCTGCTAAAGAGCTAAAACCATGCTTGGAGAGAGCTCAGGGTTTAGAAATGTAGCATTTTAATCAGTCCTTTCATCTGCATGATAAGGGTTGATTTTTGATCAAAACTTGTATTGATGGGTTCAAAAGTAAAAAATGGGCCTGATGATCCAAAAATCTGTATAAGATATAGCAGATATAGCAACCTCCACACTTACTGTAGTAAAAGTTAAAAATAATCATTCATTGTGGGGAAAAATCCTTTGCAAGACATCAATAATTGTTTATAAAAAAAATCTATACACCAATGATAGCACTATTATTGCTCATAAAATGTGTATCAAATACAAAAAGCAAGGCTTTTTGTAATTGATACAATTCTTTTAGGCACTCCTCAAATATGGCATAGCCATCTCATCATTACAAATTACTTTTATTTATACCTTTAGCACTAAGTTGTTAATTTGTAGTCTGTTTCAATTCTTTTTTTTTTGTTATTTGAGTGCTTTGTCCTTTTTCAAATTTATGTTAATGATCAGGTAAACTGCTGAGCTAAAGGCAAATTTTTGCTTTAGTATCTTAATCTATTGACTTTTTAAAATACTTTATTGGTAAAATGATCCAAATCATATGTCCGAAGCATAAACTGATTTCGCCCCAAACAAAGCATCAATGTTCAACACAATAAGAGTTCATCGGAGATTAAAAGAGAGCTCCAAACCTGCCAAATGTTAATGGAAAGCGTTTGCTTTCTAAAATAATGGTGGCAGGTAAAAAAAATAAAAGTTAGTCCTTATATGGAAATTCCCCCTATTAGGATCCAGTGGATGCTTTAAGGACCAACACATTTAAACTGAGTTGCATGATATATAAACAGCTTCTGCAATAGGCTTTAATGTAAAGAAATATTTTAGCTTTTGTCTTTAAATGTCTTAATTTAACCATTCAGACAAGAAAAACACAAAACAACCAAAGCTGTTTGCATAACTGATTGCAGTATAGGGAGGTCTCTTGTGCAGGACAGGATCAGATGTGCGTAAATCAAGGAACTGAAAGGAGATGATGAACAAAAGACATCCTTAAATAATAACTAGAGAAAATTAAATTTAAAAGAATGCCTCTGTGAAGCATCTCTGGATATTGAGACCTATTTCTCCCCAGCATAAAACCTTTGTTTAACATTCGCCTGATCATACCACAGCTGTATTTACCGTATATCAGCTCATGACCTTGAATCTAAAAAAGATTTGGGTATTTGCTTGACAGAGTCCAATCCAGATAATCTGTCTCATCTTCACCTGTTTGCCTGTGTGGTGAAAACTCCAAGGACAGCAGGCCGGTGGTTTATTTGGAGGACATTGGTCAGTGACTGCAGAACATCGAAGTAAAAGAAAGAGTCTCCCGGTACAGAGCAGTTCAGCCGGGCTTTCAGGAAAGATGTCCAGTAGCGTTCCAGGACCCTCGGGGAACCCCCGTTGTCATTCTTACAAACTCGGGCAACCCTGGAGAAAACAACCTGAGGAGGCAGGAGAGGGAAAAATCCTTTACCTTTAACACCAGGCAGCGCCAACAGAAAACTACAGTCAAGAATGTGGTTTGCATGACAAGCGAGCCCTTTGTTGGAGTTTATTCTGCAAAGAATGAAAGCTGTTGATCCCCCTCACCTTGCCGAGGGTGGTGTACTCCACTGCAATCTCGCTGAAGAAAAAGTACACGTAGTTCCCATATTCAATAGCGTGGAGAAAATGGGGTTCTAAAGATGGAGAAAACGGAATTTCATAAACCCACTTTGAGTTACAGCTTATTTCTAATACAGCTCAGCTTCTTGAGATTTGGTAAACACGGGCCTCAAAGAAATGATCGTCTCCTCAATGTGAAATTGCAAATTTGCATATTGGGTAAGAGACCAAAAAAAAGAAACAGTCAAAAGAAACCTATTGTACTAAAGTATTAGAGGTGGACCAGAATCGATGCTGATTCATTTTCATCAAAAAAACAGAAATATGGCACAGAACTTTCTCACATCTTAACTAATACTTTATAACTTCACCAAATAAATGATTTTCATTTAATATAGTTTTATATATTTTTTTCATTTGTTACAATTTTTTAAGTCTGTTAACCCGGAATCAGAAAAACAAGATTAATTATTTTCAGGTCTTCAAGGACAAATTCTTTAGTGGTGGTAAAGCTAGAGCCTCTGACCTCCTGAACAATCTAATAAGAAAATGCACAAAGCATCTGTTTGAGGCATCATTCAAACAAAGCTGCTGCTTCTCTTAGCCATGAATCTATACAACATCAGAGAAAACTTAATGATATTTTTCAGCACAGACAGAAGGGAAAAATATCTATAGACTGATTGCTTGTTAGGGACATTCAAGATAATGATACATGAAGTCCCAGGCTTGCAAAAGGCAATATAAGTTATCTTAATTATCAGTTCCTAGTCATTTATATTCTACCATGCAGTTCTTCTAGCCTGTGTTTTTAGATAGAAATAATGATTCTTTAATGCAGAGCTTCATTACTGGTGGGGAAAAAACAGTTCTAGTAATTTTCAATCTATAAATCAACAATCTGAATAAAAGAGTTCTTTCTGACTGGACGGGTGATTGTATTCAGATAAAACAATATAAGACGGTAAAAGCTTTCATTTATATTTTCCTAATGAGATTTCAATATAAAGTGTGCAGATCAGTCGTATCATCCAGACTGGATGCTATTTTAGTAATTAAAATGTACATTCGGTCTCCTTTTAGAAAAAAAAAAATGCAGCGTACTCTAAATTCTGTAAATTTTTCTTTATTCAAGCGGACAACTTTTTCAAGCTCCTAATGGGCTCCGAATATTACAGGAGAGCAAATGAAAGAGTAGAGAATTAATCAGCAATCATGAAAATAATATCCAGACATCTAATCAAAGGACTCTCATTTTTCTAAAAACTTCTCAAGCCTGGTTCTACAAAACAGATTAATGAGCAGCAAAAAAACTCTGTCAGTCCAGAAAATCAATTACCGATTTGGACTGATAATGTTGACGAATGGAACAAGTATAATGTGACCAGGTCATTTCACATCAGCCTAAAAGCACATTTGGATGATTACCTCTGAGCCACTTGGAGTCATACTTGACTGTACGCAGAACGGGACTGCTTTCTCCCAGACTTCTATAAATGACAGCATCGCTCGCCAAGAAGTCAGTCATTGTTGCAGAGTAGAAGTCACCACCTGAAGGACACAGAAAAAAAGGCAGACTGAGATACATCGTCAGGAAACACAATTACAAATGGAAACTCTTCTCTTTAAATGTGTATTTAGGTGTTTTTTTAAAAGAACTCTGAGTGGAACAGATGTAGGCAAACATGCCACTCTGAATAGCAGAAGTGGAAACCAGGCAGCTTTGGAGAGCTGCTTTGGCCCTGGCTTCTTTTCAGAGTTTGACCTCAGCATGTTCAGGGTGTATCAGCTTTCTTCCTGCTACCATTAGCAAAGGAACTCTAAATCAAACCACAAATCACAATCAGTAGGAGGAAACCATAAATCATAACTAATAAAGAGCCAAATATAAAAACATAGATGTCAGCCTCAGCCATACAAACCTGCAGTGAAATAATCTACCAGTTTTAGTGAACACGAACATTTAAATTTATTTCCATCTTTCCTAGTATGTCTTTAGACATAAGGTTACACAATAGGTTACACAGTAGTTGTGACGAGATTTTAGAGATCCCATATCATGCAAATTTCACATTATAGACATTTTGTAAGTCACGTGTCCTTAAGCTTGTGTATGACATTCATAAAAAAAAGACAAAAAACATTTCACCTCTCTCACTGCCTTTCTCCACCTCTTAGCTACTGTAATGCATGCTCAAAATGCAGTGTTTGACCACAATTCCCCTTGTGATGTCATAAGGGGAAATAAGCTGTGCAGAGAGGTCTGTAGCAGTCCATCGGCTAAGCTACGGCCTTCATCTAATGTATTATTTGAGGCTCACAGGCTATCTTTACAAACTCTGACTGTTTTTTATGGTTCCGGGTTTTTGGGTCAAAGCCTTCAGGAGGGAAGGGCTTGGAAAGTCAAAACAGCTCATCTAGAGGAGGACTGAAAGCGGACATTTTTGGTAAAGGAAATCTGCCTAATCTGAAAGGAATTTTCCTGCACAAATAGCAAAAACATGCTCTGGGGGCCTCATTGTTAATATGTTTGTATTTTCAAAAGTAGTATAATATAAAACCTTTAAGATTTAGAAGAAATCAGTCTTGCTTTGCCTAATCCACTTACTATACTATTAATCAATAAAAATCTTTACTAATGAAAACACAAAAAAAGAGAAAGGAACAACCTACCTCTGTCCAGAAACAAATGATGAAAAAGATCCCCTTAATAAACTCTTTCACTTAAATGTTAAATAATGTTAACCAATGGAATCATTTTAACCCATTTTTAGCCAAAAGGTGTCAACCTTTAGTTTGCACGCTGTTTGTAGCGTTCAGTTCAGTGCTGAACTTAAGTGTGAGGTCATGTTTCTTTTTAAAGAAATATAAAACGTATTTGAACCCATTTTTCTCATAATCTTACAAAGCTTTGGTCAAATATAAACTGTAGTTTGAACTTTGAAAAAAACTAAAACACAAGCCTTTAAACTGGCTTACATGGTCCTGCTAAAGGAGCAATAAAATTAAAGCTGAACCATAATATTTAACACTGATTTCAGATCATCAAAAAATATAAATAACAAAATAATTTGATATTGCGGAAAACAAAAAAAAAATGGCACTCTTAGTTTTCTTAGAAATAATGTGAGATTCCTATTTAGTTTTACATTAAACATCTATTAAGTATGTAACGTTCTGTATGGTCCAGAAGGGAAGCAGCCTTATATCCATAGTCTGAAATCTGTGAGGAAATTTAAGCTTTTTCCATGTCCAGATCCTTTGCTTAGAATCTTTGAACACATTAGAAGTAGAAAAATAGAATAACTTCCATCAGACTAAAGTAAAAAATAGTTTTGAGATTCCTTGTTCCCAGCCTGACCTGAGCAATTAAAATCTAACCAAAGTCACTTCGAAGTTACTGACCTGCAAAAAGGCCGACATTAGACTGGCGGGACTCAAAGGGACATCGAGCCTGTCCAACCACCTCCTCGCCTTCCTGCTCCAGCGTTGACATCTTTAACAGAAAGAAAGCTTAATGAGAACATAAACCAAGTTTAAGGGCTGGAAGACTTAAAGCCAAACATATGCAAGGCATTGCCACATGAATGCACTGCTGGTTACAAAAATCTAATATTACCTGTACATTAAATATCGAGAAAAAAATGTCAAAAAGTGCATCTAAACATGAAGGATGTTTACTAAATCAATATGTGATAGTAAAAGGCAAAACATGCCCTATAAAGATTAGTTGTATTTGATGCATTATATGTGGGTCGTTTCCATAAAAGCAGTGCGTGAAGGTCCCGCTGCTCAGGCAGACAGGACACTTTATCTCCTAGCCGCAGATATTAAGCTGCTATTTTCCAACCTGTTGTTAACAAGGCTGTAAACCTCAGGAACGACAAAGCATGAAGCCCAGCGGCGTGTAGATGTTTGGGTGCTTTAAGAGCTGAGCGAACGCAGAGCAGGTTTAAAGCCCTTTGTAGCAGTAAGGTGACAGAAAAATACACAAGCAGCACATTAATAGGCCATTAACACGTTGGCTTGGTTTGCATCACGCTAATCTGATCAACACATCACAGTAATTACTGCTGTATTGTCATTCTGTCCTGAAAATAAAATGATTAATTAATGCTTTACTGAATACAAAGGTTATGCTGTGTATTAAATGTTTATAAAATAAATCCAGGTCTTGTAAATAATAGAAAAAAAAATCAGGATGGGCATTGATGTTTAAATTTGATGCAAAATGTTGTTTGATTTGTTAAAATAGGATTTAAAACCACTGGATTTGTGTTTTATTATTATAAGTAATTGAAATTGGTTTAATGCAAACTAGTTTTTCTGCATTAACCTCAAAAGTGAGCATCTGCCATCTATGCTTATGTTCATATGTATATCTGAAAAACAGAGAAAACAGCTGAAATCTGAGACAACACCGTCTCTTTCATTTCTTTAAGAATTCCAACTGAATTTGAGTTGTTTCCGAGATGAAAAACATACTACACTATTTCCAATTTTATTGTATTCTGCTCCACTGAAGCATCAAAGGGGGACTTTGATTGGATTTGTGGAGCTTTTCACTAAACATGTTTGATAGATGCAGAAAAGAAACAAAATGTATCGCACAGATTTTGGTAATGCTTAAATCCAATGTTGAGGCTGTAGGAACAGAAATATGTAAATTTCTTTAAAGTCACTAACAACCAAAGCAATATCTGGTTTTTCTGAGCGAAGCTGCTTTACTGAGGACAGCAGAGGTGAAGTAACCGGTGAGTAAATGTTTCAATCTAATCCTTCAAAAAATCTCTACTTGAGAGTTACACTAATATAAAAAGAGACTGTATCACATTTTGACATAACTTTTTGGAATTTTATATGGGAGACAACATTAACCAAATTAGTGAATAGTTATGATGTAAGAGAAAAAACTATATGTAATTTCCAAAGTAGTTTAAAAATAAGAATGTTAAGTCATTAAGTCTTATTTTGGACATCCACAACATTAAACAACAAACTCGAGCAACATTTATAAAGTAAGAGTAAACAAAGATGACAGAAAGGATAACGAGCAAAAAAACTACCATTTAAAATACGGAGGCCTTCATGGTACAAAACAAATTCCTCAACGTCTACATCACCTACTAGTCGAAAGAAGCAGAGGTTTGTTTACGTTAGTGATTTTATAAATAGTATTTTATTAGTCGGTGCAGGATATAAACTATTTATAGGCCTAACTTGCTAAAGTACAATTCGAGCATAATGGTGATCTCTAAAGTTTGTCAGCTCTGAGACGTCATAACACAAAGATTTCTGTCTCCCTAAATGCAATACCTCCTCCTGTATAATTATAAATAGCAATAAATGGCAATAAATTACATGCTTACATATAATCTATTACATTTCTGTCAGTAAATCCCTGTAGATATTACATACCCTTACTTTCAGAGAGAAAATTACTTGTTCCTGAAACAAGAAATATCTGCACTATTCCAGCTTTTCAACAGCTCAGAGTTTAAATAATAAAAATAAACTCAGGAATAAGAACTGATAGTTCTGCACATTTGTGAAGAGACTGCAGGGTCAATAGCTCCAGCTCAGAGGAGAACAGACGGTTTAACACTTTAAGATTTTGTTTTATCATTAATGCATGCTGACGACAGCCTTCCTGCCGTCTACACACCAGCTGTCTCAGCAGCCTGGGCAGTGAAGCAGCCTTTTCATAGACAGGCATCCAATCATGTCTTTCACAACCACACACATCTGATTCAATGCTCCACTGTCATGCACATATTTTTGTAGGCACAGATTCCTTGTTATGATTTATATTTCTTCCCACTTTCTCCAGCTGTCTGAACTGTCGTCTCTCCGTCTCCGTGTTCAGATGAGAGAAACAGACTAGGGGTGCGAGGCGAGAGGATGTTTTGGTAAAACTGTATCTCAACCTCTCTTTTCTTAAAGGGAGTCTGTGGCAGGAGGATGATAACGTTTGAATATAGGTCGAAGCGCAGCCCTATAAACATTTTACATCAGCTTCTCTGCAGGACCGCTGGCACAGCTGTACCACTTTGATTTTGGAGAATATTCAGGTAATGTTAGCCTGTGGAGAAGCTCTGCTTATTTTATAATCCCTTGGACTGCTTTAGGAATCGGATCAACACTATGCAATGCCGATACTATGAGGTCAAAAACAAGGTAGAAAAAGTGAATTAAAACCAAAATGTTTAGAAAGTTTAAAGGTTGAACTTTTTATAATTTTTTTTTTTAAAGCTAAGGAAGAAGATGATACCGAAGAAAGAGAAAGGTTAAATAAGGGTCAAAACTTAGTAGCAGATTATTCACATGATATGCTGTGAGAAGAGTTGAAAGAACCCCATTCAGAAGAAGAGTTTTTTTTTTTTCCCCCAAAGCAGCTCCAGAGCTAAAGGGGTCTGGCACTATGTCTGGGTCTTACTGAGGTCTATAAAAACAGCTAAGAACTGGAGAGGTTTTCAGTGAACAGCCAGCCAGCTTAGAACTGCATCATTACTTCATCAAAAACGTCTCTTAATCTTCCCTCCCATGTGTTATGAAAACTTTCTGTACACAAATAACTTTATTTTAATTGATCATTTCTCTATATTATAAACCAAGTTAATAAACACTGTCCAAAACAATCTTTGGCGTTTCTGAAGACACTTTGTAGTCTCAGAAAACATTTCTGACCTCTGGGATCAGTATTTCAGTAAAATACTGGAAGCCTGGGCCACAGTACACTGTTTAAAAAAGGGTTTCATGTTTACAAACGACCTTGCAAACTGTGTTTAGATTAACCCATAAAAAGTGACCCTAAAGATGTGTCTGTGGAGTGCCGATCCATAAACCACAAGAGGTGTGATATTTACGCTCCAGGACCCGAGGAGGGTTATATACTGCACACAAAGGACAGTTGTCCCAAACAGATTGAGGGGCCTCAATATAGCTTTCTTATTTCTGATATGACATTGATCCAAAATGATATCAGCAAAGTCATCATACTATCACCTCTGTCGTATTGTGGAATGTTTGGTGAGATAAAGTGATATTAGTGAAGCAAAGAACAGATTTGACAACAACCAACCTTTTTATTAATAGCCAATGGGTTGCATAAACTTTAAACTGATACATTAATGTAAAAAAATTGAACTGAATAAAATTAATCTATTTAGACCGGAAACATGTGCATTAAGATTTTGCACTCTAAAAAGGTGCATTTCTGGAATTTAACAGAAAGTACAGCCACCCTGCCCAACATAACCCCTACTCAAGTGGCATAGCGCCTGCTTCCCTGTTCAACAGAAGTGTACAGTAGTTGTGATCAAGCTGGCTCCGCGTGCAAAACACCAGAGCTGCTGGATAGAAATAATGGAGCGGACTAAATGACAGAGGGGAATACTGGAGCAGAGTGATTGTATCAGTGGGTTATAATAAAGGCTTTAGATGCAGGCTGATATAAGATATTTTTTGGGTGATAAGGGACCAATTTCCAAAATCAGGTTGAAACACTGCGAAAAATAAGTTATTTCTGGATATGTTTCAGCTTTGTCATAAGTTAATTCATCTAGCTGCCTTTTAAAAGTGCACTTTTGAGTTTAAATATTTTTCTTTTTTAATTAACAAAATTATTCATTCAGTGGCAGGCACTAGTAATTGTAGGGATGTAGGGTTACTGCAGTATGGTGTGGATGAACCAATCGACCCTCTATAAGAAAACATGGTTTCTGATTAACACAAAAAAGTACAAATTGTTAATTTTTTTGTTTCTATTATTTCTTTAGCACTGCTGAAACCCATTTGGATCCCAAGCATCCCAAGTGAAATATTTGCTGGGAGAAAAACAAAGGGTTAAAAGAGCCAGAACATGACATATGCAACATCATATTAATGGTAAAGCTCAGTAGCATTACAGTATTTGACTTAAATAAGCCAATAAAAAGCTAGTAAGGGAGTTTTTTATGGATTTCATTTTGAACTCCATAAATATGTCTCAGACTGAAGAAAACAGTTTTTTCCCTTTGCATTGGCAAAGCAAATGTGCAAAGATGGAAACGGTGTTACAGTGCCAGAGTCAGTACTTATGTCAGAGGAAAACCAAAGATGCAGAGCCAAATGTGTGCTGCAGCTTAGAAACCTTCAAAGAGGCACAATGGCAGCTGCTTACCAGGCCTACATATTTACATAAAACCATCAGAGATTTGAAACATCAGAATTGTCTTAATAGGTGCAATGCTGCATTTCAACCCCCCCAAAAACATTTTAGATGAGGTGCAAGTGTTAACTTGAAGAAGAGCTGAGCAAATATGTGAGGGAGACCATTTATCAGGAAAAGGCTCTGATCCATCCTTCAGGCTGTCATTCAATTTGGGGCATTTATTTCAACCAATGTCATTTACTCCATAACTTAAGCATTTACTGCTCTGCTGTCTCAGAGCCAACCTAAAGGCACACATATCTTTATTTACTTGAACACAGCCTGTGTGCTTGATAGCTCAAGGAGATTGCTGTGAGCCATACTCAGATTAATACATAATACTTGGAGACAAATCGTCAAAAGATGAAGATGGAAGATAAAACAAAGGAATCTTCATCACTCTTGCAGACAAAAGTTTTAGACTGAAACTCAAAGGCATGGATTTGAACATTCTTGAGAATGATAAGATTCTTTATATAAAATATTTTTTCTAAATGTAATGCCACTGGTTTTCTTTTACCAGATCTGATAGGAAATGTCGATTATATTTCAAAATAGGACAATTGTATGTAAAGATGTTATACTCAGAGATTATTATTGGACTATTTATATTAAGATAGCAAAAGAGAATACACAAGAAGGGGTATATCTAATATTTAAGAAAAATAAAGACAGAAACTCATACATATTAGGTAAGGACATAGTTGTACATGAAAATCCCAAATCAGTACATTGCTCAATTATGAATTTCATTGTTTAAGATTGAGTCGGTGTAATTACATTGGGGGTTTAAATACGTTTCTTTTCAAGTAAAAAAAAAATGTTTTTCAAAAACAACTTCTGCAACAACAAATATACAGAAGATTTACTGCATATTTTTGGAAACAATACTTTACAGCTGTACATAAATAATATTTATTTCAGTACCTTAGATTTGAGTACCAAAAACAAAAAAAAAAGCTAGAGTGGCACACTGAGAAAAATAAAAAGGGAAGGAAATAAAAACAAACAAACCTGGGCTATACTTTAATTCATTTTGATGCTTTCAGCTTGATCTCAGTTTAATACCAGGCTTGGAGAAATCGATTTAAGTGTCTCCAATAGTAGCTTAGATAGCTTTAAAGGTTTGTCCCATTCGCCAGCATTTAATTTCTAGTTGATCAAAAAGTATATACATTAGTACCCACAAAACACACTTTTGTACACTGAAGTACTTCATCAATGTTATTCCGTTTTCTCCTTTCCTTGTTTCAATATTGGCTATAAGTTATGATTTGTTTTACGTGTTTTTTTATTTTCCCATGAGCCCTATTTCTTTAGTGTAAACTAGGAGTAGATTAAAGGAGTTTTCCTTAAGGTGTCAGGTAGGAACTAAATGTCCCAAATGTGGGCTTCGATCATTGCTTTGTTGAATTGTTAACTTAAAAATGTCTGACCCAAACATTTTCGTAGAGCAACCTCCTCAATATTGAGCACCATAAAAATATATGTTCATACTCCTAGTTTCTCCTGACAGATACTGTCATACCAATTAGCTTTTCCACCTTTACAATCCCCTATAAAGTTTTACAATTGAATATTATTGTATCAATTAAATGGTTTCTTCTAACAGACCTTTCATCTTTTTAGTTAGTCTAATTGAAACCCAGGAGGAAGCTGCGATTCTCATCACCTCAAAACTTTTAATCAGGAGGAGTAAAATTCCACATTAGGAGTTTTTCTGCAGTTTTTTTTTGTTTTGTTACCAGACTCCTCTGCACTGTCAGATTTACTGTCCTGTGGGACTTTTACTCCCTTCTCCTCTAATGCTCCAACAGGAACTTTTGGATTTCACTTGACAAAAATCAAACTGTAAAAGTTTTAGCTAAGGGAACTGATGTACTATAGAGACCTTCAAAAACTAAAGCAAAATGACTTAATTTAACCAGCAGCACCTGCAATTATTGCAGGCATGATGCCTGGTAAATCAAGGCGAGGTGAAGCTGCTGGAATAACTTTCTGTTTTCTCCCTCTCCTTCCTTTTTCAGCCTAAGCTTTATTGTGTCAGAGCTTTAAACCAAAGCAGCCATCAGCATACAATGTGTTCTGTAAACAGATTGCTTCTCCCCAATTCGTGTTGAGCCAACATATTTTTCACCGACAAAAATGCAAAACGTCAGCCGATCAAGGATGACCACCCACAGTGAGCATTTCATGCTCAGTGTTGAACAGCTAAAAACATCTGAAGAACATTTTGATCAAATCTGATAATATCTGATGCTTCATATATGCCAAGAGGAAAATCTGCAGGTGTCATCAAGAGGAACCGCTTCTCTTAATACTTAAAATTCTTTCAGGAAATCCTTTATATCTGTTTATTTAAATGTGTTCCATCAGTGTTAGTTCACAGCTGAAGTGCTGACTGACAGACTTTCTCTCTAGTTGACAAATTCTGCGTGAACCTTGAGACGACCTCACTTCATAGTTGTTTCTATGTGTGTTTTTTCCACAGTTTTCTTTTTAACATTGTTTTGGTTTCTCAAACTATCACAAGGTTCTCTGTGGGAAAATGTTCAAACTGTTTCATCTGGTTATAGCAAAACAACTGCTATACTGAGGGAAAAAACAAAACTTGGCTCCTTTTGTAACTTGAACATGTCCTTATAAACACATGTTATTTACCCATAGACATCCGTTAGGCAGCTTTTGGATTGAAAGATCCTAATCTCCCGGTCGCCTGCAGTTGGATTGAACTACATTTCTGTTTCAGTGGCTGTGTGAACAATGAATAGCGACGAGATAATTAATCAAAAGCCTCGTTTACACTACCCTTTCGAAATCGTGCTGATCGTGCTTAATCATCTGACATAAATGTTGAGTATAAATGGAATGCAACTGAAGTGACCGTGCAAACGGAACCAAACCGTGCTAAATCTAGTACTAGTTTAACAGTAGGGCTTGGCACCGTTAATCTGTGGCTTGGTTGTCTGATAAAGAGCACATGAGCAGACCGAGTCGTCTACTGACTCTTTTTACTGGCTTTGCTGTATGTCCAGCTTTGCATTTCACAGATCTCTTCACCTGTTCACAACACAAACTTCTCAGCCTATTAACAATAAATGGCCTCAAAGAGCGTGGTGCCTGGGATGATGACAAGGCTCTTGAAATTTGGGAGGAGGTCTTTATCCAGGCACAACACTTCCTGAATGTTATGGCTGCCGCTATTTTTGTTTGCGTGATTGCCTTGAGAGCTGTAGTAATGTGGAACCCCGATAGGAGATGAGGAATCATGCTAGTGTAAAATGGTGTGTAAATGGTCGTAAGATTCAAGCTCGGTCCGAACTCAAAGGGGTAGTGTAAATGGTGCATAATTATGTTCGATAACTTCATAGTAAACACACATATAGATCCCAGTAGGAAGATGCCGATAGCTGCAGAAGATTGCTCGAATATCAAACCTGCACTATTTGCACGAAGATACAGTCTCTCAGGGAAATTTAGTCACACCGACTTCCGTCTTCATAACAAATGTTGAAAGGGGGATGCGACCTATGCAGTCTACACCTTTTTAGTTTTGTGTGGCAGGGTTACTGCCACCCTCTATGGCTGCTTTCAACTAGTGTAATCACAAAAGTCATGCAAATATTTTATGAAGGTTGAGAAGTTATTTAGTATTTGTTAAAAAAAAAACCCTACATCAGTCTATACCTAATCTGAATACATCACAGTTTTAATATTGGGATACCTGCTTAACAGCAACAGCTAAACAGCTATTGGATTCTTCTTACTGTATCTGTCAAAAATAGCTTGTTTTCCATTTATCAAAGCAGCCTGATCAACATCGGATTTAGTGCTAACAGTTATCTTCACTGTGGATTTTCAATCCTTGCTGCCCATTGTAGCATCAGTCAAGACAAATGTAGTAAAAATGTTTACAGTATTTTTCTTTATACTAGTTTGATTTTTAAATCTATACATTTTGGGTCTTTGCTGCTGTGGAAACTCACACTATTACCCAATGGTGTTGTAGAAATATTGAATATATGTTGTTAAAAAGGAAATGCATACCTTTGCAGGAGCTTTAAAATGATTTGTTCACTTTGAAATATAAAACTAAGACTTAGCATATAATTTTATTGCGTCTTGAGATACAGAAAATCTATCTCTGACCTGAAAACAAAGGTTTTATCATGGATAATTTTATTTTCCCAGGAAGGGACGGTGAAAGAAAAAAAACAAACAAGTATGGCGAAACAGAGAGCATGTAAGGACTCAGCCACAGAGTCTCATTATAGCCCTAAAATGATCCCTTATCTGTAACTGAGGCCAGCAGCCAGCACACAGCGGTGCAGTAACCTACCTTATAGTTACGGCAGGTGGGATTGAAGGCGTTGGTGCCACAGGCAAACAGAGTCTCATCGTTGCGTGGCACCAGCACTTTAATGTAGTTGTAACATTCATCCTGTCAGGAGGGAGAGAGTTTGGTGTTACTGCAAAGCAACAATAAAACCAAATGAGGAGTTTTAGCAGGTTTGCTGCGAGACACAAACAGCTTCTCTGGTTTATAGTTATTATTCTAATCCGTTGAGAGATTTCCTAAGCATGCCTTAGTGCAAACCTTCTCTGTACTGATAAAAAAAACAGGTATAGGCCAAGGCAGGCTGCAGGAGAAATAACACCAAGCACAGTAGCAGAGAGATGAGAGCATATTTCTCTGAAGGATGATACTCACGCTGTTCTTCCCTCTCACGGTGCACTTCGCCACATCCTTCGTCTTCCAAGTAAGTTTCTGGAAAACAACAAGAGAGCCAACTGTCAGCACAAAGACAAGACTTTTCCTGCCATCTTGGCTTCCGTCGCTCCCAGTCATTCAAGTGCCATTACGAGACCGCTGTGATAAAAATCTCATTAATTTCAATAAAGCTGTTGTGGAGAAAAACAAACAGCAAAGTATCAGGGACCCCTGCAGCGCTTGAGCGGCTCATCAGTGGGCAGCCAAACACTGTGGCTCCTCAGAGATAAAAATCACTCTGGGATAAAAGCGGATCTATGAGGCTACACACACAAGAGAAACAAAAGAGCACAAAAAGGAAGCTCAGATCATTTCACTGCTTATATGAAGAGAAGTCAATTAATCCCAATTAACCTTCTGGCCGAAAAAAATTAAATATAAAAAATAAAAGTCTTGCTTCCATCTGGAGAGATGAAAACAAGTCTCACTTTCTGCATCCCAGGCTCGTACCTGCTGAGCTGGGACAAAAAAAGACTCAGCTACTTGTTAACAAGCTTTGCCAGGCGAAGAATTAATGCGTTCCTCCTCACTGTCGACTAATTTACGGATAAAATTCTCCCAAACCTTCTCTATACCTCTGAGAATTCGAGCAGTCTGTGTCAATTAAGCTCAGTTTCTGCCAACATATCACAACAAAATATGATCAGGCAGGAGTTTGATGTCTTCCTCAGTGACATGATGGCGTATGTTGGAACAGCCTTGGAGCATTAGCAGCCATTTTCAGTCTACAAGTTAAGACTTGCTAAAGCCTCTCAAGCACAGCTTTCACACTTTAATATTTCTGAACTTTTTCCTGAGATAAATCTAAATCAGTTTTCTTGTAATCAGTTCAAATGTGTTATGGGTAATTATCCTCCAGGTATTATGCAACTTCACATCTATGATTAATTATTTTTTCATCAGTGTATTTGCTGTCAGTGTAGTTGTCCAAAAGTTCAATTAATCAGCCTTTGTGTTCCCTGTCAAAAAAAAATAAAAAATAAAAACACATAATTCATCAGATTAAATGACTTATAGGTATTTTTTTTTTATCATTCACAAATTTATAACTAATTTAGCCTTTTACTTGTCACAAGATTATCTTGATCAATAATGAAATGTCCCCTTTAATAAATAAATCTATAATACATAATTTAATTGATTGTGGTTCTCGTCTCTTATTTGCTTTGAAAGTTTTTTTTAAATATAACAGAATATGACCCCTGAAACCAACATAAGTAAATTGCTCTAATAGGCCATTTAGAAGGAACCAAACCAATATAAAAATCTGGTCCACCATTACCAGGTAGAAGCAGGCTGTTTACTCAAAGATTTTTTTGCATCCTGCTCTGAAAGCCTTCAGCCTTTAAATGAAATAATAGACTGAGATCTGATGGACATTTTGATTGGGTATTTTCTGCAGTAAGTTAATGTATTCCAGGATTCAAAGCGATAAACAGAACTGCTGCTAACAGATGTTGAAGCGCCATTTATATCCCATCTGGGAGATATTATTATTATGTTCTCCTTTACTTAAGATGAATAAATAAAAATATTAGATGTTAAACAGGCCTGTTGTCATGTTTCTTGATTATTCAGCCCTTTAGGAGGGAGCAGCTCACAGGTTAGGTTTGGCTTCAGCTCTGGTGTCTACAGACATTTGAGAATCAAGACAATGAACTGAAATGACTGCCTCTTAGCAATTAAAAAAGGTGGTTGTATTAAAGCAACAACCAGGAGGACAGTTATGGAAACTCATGCATGAATTGTTAAGAGTAAAATCTCAACAATTACCTGCAGGCTAGACCACTACTTGTTTTTGATCCATGTTAACACAGAAAAACCTAATTCTCATACATATGTAGATGTGAACGGAATGAGTATTTGATGCATTTTTTCTGAAGAGGTGGAGGAACTCTGTCTCCACATGTTGGAGAAATGTTTGTATGTACTTTTCTGTTTTTATTTATTTTCCACATGTCACTGTCCCCTTAGGGGGTGGCAGAGCTCTTTAGGCCCAACAAATTGGAAAACCCTCGTAACCACCCTTGACGTCTCCATTAACACCCCATCCCTCTCCCCAGATCAGAGACACGGTTCTAGTTTTCTATTAATAACACTATTGATTTATTCATTTTATTAATCTTCCGAAATCCTAAATTTAACCGTGATGAGATGAATTTGTTTCTATCTATGAAACGGAAATGTCAACAAATTTGTATTTCAGGAAAGTGCTCACCTTAGATTTGCTAATTTTACCAGCAGCAAATTTGGAAGAAAACAGTTGATGCAAGATTTCCTTAACATTAGCCAATCATAAGTAGTTTACTTACTAAGTGTAAGATTTTACAACCTTAAAGTGTAACCAAAACATTGCCATACATGCAAAAACAGGTCCAGAATGAATCTAAAGACACATAAGAAGCAAGCCACGAGTGCAGAGAAGAAGGATGCAATGTGAAAATTGGGCGGCTTTAATATCACACCTGCAAGCACAGATGTGAACATGGAGAGTAGTTTACATGCGTGTGTTTTAAATAGTGTTGCACCGATGCCATTTTTTGGACCCGATACCGATACCCGATACCTGGCTGTGCAGTATCGACGATACCATAATAATGTAAAATAATTGCCATCATGGCTTTGTCAAGCTGCTGCCTACCTTTGTGAAGCAGGAAAAAATCTAATACAAAGTGAATCCAGTAGAACTTTTTATTGCCTACCTGGAATGGGTGACAATAGTTGAATAAACTTATAGCTCTCAAAATGGTATCGGTGCACTATTTGTTGGTACTCGCCGATACCGATACCACCATTTTAGGGCAGTATCGGGGCCCCGTCTGATACTGGTATCGGTATCGGTGCAACACTAGTTTTAAATAAAACTTCTCGTATCAGTATTTATTAAGCATGTGCATTTTTGGCAGAATTCTGACTTCATAAAATATAGAATGCAAAAGCAAAACTAAATAATGCAAGTTTTAGGTCTGGTTCCAGATTGATAGAAAAAAAACAACAAAAAACGGGTAAAATTGTACATCTCTAAGATCCTTCACTTCGAGTTAAGATCTGTTAAAGCAAAAAACATGAGAAAGGCGCACAGCCAACTATCTTTTCTTATAGTACCTCTGGCACAACCTTTTGAAGAACTGACACACATCAGTAGAAGTCAGCATTATGGTAATAATCTGGTTCTCCTCTAAGCCTGATTTGGTTTACTAATAAAAAAGGTAGAGCCACTCAAGTCAGGGGAGATCAATGGAAGGGAGACTGTGAATGAACGCCTGGTGTGAAAAATGAAGAGGCGGTAAAAATGAGCTTGCATAAAAGGAATGAATCTGTGATGAGGACGCACCATTTTCTAGTGGTATGAGTCAGTCACACACTAATGATCTAGCTGAGATGGATAACAGAAAGAAGGGAGAATGAGAAGGAGAATATGGGAACAGGCTTTATAATTTTCCACTCAGTTGCCGCTGTTATACAGGAGGATGGAGAAGTTTGAGTGAATGAATAAAAAATGCATAATGTTAAAACATTCAATATTGAGCTTCTCATATAGGAGCCGAACACAGTGGTGCTTGCAAGTTCCCATTTCATTGTGAAACAGCCTTTATCCAAATCAGCAGCGCAGATCTACTTGACATCAAGTAGTGCCCTTATCAAAACAAATATTCATGTTTGAGGCTAATCTAAATACAGGCAAACAAAAAGTTTAGACCTGAGAGAGCCTTTATTTAAGTGCAATCATGTCTGACAAATGAGATTCAGATAGGGGAGAACAAGGGAACAAAAGCACAATTTCATCTGGGGTCGACGCATGTCTGGAGAACGATTGCTTAATACACTGATGAAAAAAGGAGGCAAAAGGGTAGAAAATAATCACTAACAAACATTACAAAGGCTTGTTTCTGTTTGTTTTTGGAAACGGTGTACTTCAGAAAGAAATGAAAAAAAGACATGAATGTCTTTTGCCTAAATTCTGGAGATTTCTGGTGTTATCTTCAACAAAATCCTTCTTGATAATATTTAGTTAAGACACTATCAGGAAAATGTTCAACTGAGATACTATTATTATCATTGAATATAGTGATGACAGTATCAACATCATCAACCTCCATCTGCCCGACTTATCCCTTCTTTTCCATCCTAACAGTTGCTCCACTATTTTCTAAGGATTTCAGCATCTCAGTCACAAAGGAATATAGATCTATGAGAATCAATGCTGGGTTGGATCCCTGCAACAGCTTAATAATGTTATGGGCACTTAGATTTTGAATTCATGGCATCTGAACTACAGCATCCTCCTAAAATGGTATTAAAGAAATCATTGGCAATCACAAAACAGCAAACCCTGATAATGGAATGACAGTTGTTATTTGTTAAAATGTGCCGATCTAAAGCTGTGCAGCTACATTTTGCTAAACCTGTTTATTTTCATAAGGGAAGCTTGAAAAACAGCTTTGTGGGCTGCATGAATGATGTGGGTTTTTGCGATATATGACCTGTTCTGGATACTCTGACAAGCTATTAAAAAAAAAAAAATAGATAAAAAAAATAAAACCTCTGAAACATCACTCATAGCCAAGCTTCAAAGTGAAGTATTGGTGTAGTGATTGACTCTGCACAAAGTTTGATACATCTTCGCACTTTGGGCGACAGCATCCGCTGACCCCGCACTGTTGCTTTACGTGGCCTACCACTTCATAGCTGAGCTGCATTTGTTTCCAAACATTTCCATTTTAGGAGCAAGGAATTCCCTGAGCTTCTGAGTGTGACCCATTCTATCACAAATGAAACAACAGTCTGGATGCCTACGTGCTTGATTTTCTACACCTGTGGCCATTGAAGTTATTGGAACACCTGATTCAATAATTTGGATGGGTGAGCAAATACTTTTGGCAATACAGTGTATATAAACCAAGAGAGGGATATTTTCAATCATCTCAGTGGAAAGATTTTCTTACCTGCTGCGGGATGATCTGCTCAGACGAGGTGCCGAGATTGATTGCAAAAACATGGTCCCTGCAAGAGACAGAGGGTTAGGACAGAGACAGGATCATCTCCTCAAGCTTCTATTAACTCTGTAAGCCTTTTGAATACAAACTTCAATAATATTTTTATCTAAGCAGTCCAACCAAAAAAAAAAGAAAAAAAAAAAACAAAAGCTTTGATTTCACTCAGAGAAATTGATCCCAGCCGTACAGAAAAAAAAAAAAAAACGCCTGGAAGATGAAAAAAAAGTTTGTTGGATTTCTGGCATTAAATCCTTATGAAAGTTTTTCCTCAACTATTGACAAAACCCACATGATTTACTAAGTGAAATGAGGCACACAGTGCGTTGCATGCAGCTGTGGAAAATATTAAGCCAATTTAGGTATATCATGGCTCTCTATACCTCTGTAGATGGATTTCTTGGCAAGCAGGAACTGCAGTTTGGGATGGAGCCAAAAACTGAAGCAGAACTTGTTTTTGCAAAAAGGAGAAGGTAGAGCATTGTACCTTTTAGATAATTACCCAAAGAAATTGTATTGGGGAAGAATGGAGTTAGGAAAGGTTTTATTAGGAAGAGATGATATAGAAACATCCATTAGGCTCATTAAAAACTTGAAACCCTTTAAATAACAGTAAGTTTCTGTTTTTAAGCCCCTTAAAGACAGTTTGATAATTTATCAAATTTGATTTTCTCTTTTCCACTTTAGGAATTTGCCTCATTATTTGAATTATTAAAATATAAATTAAGAAGTTAACTGTACAAAACCCTATTTAAACTGTACTGTTCGAAGGATTATGCACCAACATTATTCGCCATAAATCGAGCAAAGTTTAGAGCAAAGACCTGTTAAAAGGTGTTAGACCTATTTAATGTTTCTGTGTCGATAATCAAAGTGAAACAAGTTTTAACTATAAATAAAAACTTAGATTTTCAAAATAGTTATAAAAAACATCATCTGGGTGGCCAAATACATAAGCCAGAGAATTTTCTTTTAGGTATGTTTAGGTGAAAGTGCTTTGCTCCCCTATGCTAGTGTGGACGCCCAACAAACTAAAGAAAAACAAAAGATCACTATGTTTATCACTATTAAAATCAGTTTAAAAGTGTTATTATATAATGATGGAAACATTTTTAAAGAAGAATTACCCCAGAAAGTATAATAGAAATAAGAAAAGTAAAACAACGTTGGTTTAATTTCTAGGTTTTTTTCCCCCACAATATCTGTTGTTGACTTTTTTTTCTTCTTTTTTTTACAAAAATAAAACAAACTCTTGTTTTATAATAAACAGATTTAATTTTTTGCTATTCATCTCAATCTACACATATGGAGACATTTTGCATGTGACCAATTATGTAAAAGGTATGTTAAGAGCAAAAATTTTAGTAAAAGTTACCCTACTAAGTGATTGAATGTAATGATTCTTCAGACACTTTAGGAATATTTACTCGTCTTAAACTTTATAGTGTTTTTTAAATTATCACCATTTCCCCTAAACTCTTTCTTTTCAAGTGTCCTATTCAGATGTAGTAGTTGTAGATATACCTCAACCAGGTAACTTGATATGACCCCCCCAATTTAAATTCTTACATGTTGTGCTTCTAATTACTTTAGAAATGTGCAAGTTTAAATTCTTGATTGATAAATCAATACATTAACCAATCTTATTAAAACTTTGATCAAATGTGATAAAATCGTGTAAAAATATAAGTTGTCTCCCTGTACTAACGCACATAATCAAAGTTGACTGTAGATCCGCTTACATATCGAACCGATTGATTTGTAAGAAAGATATCAAATAAATTAATGATTTCCTTGACATGGCCATGAACTAAAAATATGTATTTAGCATAAAAAAATAATATAGAGGCACAACCTAGCACTATTTTACAAGTACTACTTTACAAGTTTCTATGACAGAAGCTGTCTGGCAGCATAATAAAGGCTGTCCAATGAAATTATGATGCTGTGCCGGCTTCCTATATTTTATTTCTGTATTTCACACTTTATTTTGCCATGTTTGTAAAAATATTTGATGTATTTAGTTGAACAAAACCATGTGACGAAAGCAAGCAATGCCCAACAGAATCATGAAAAGAAAGAGTAAAGCTCAAGATCAAGAGTGGAACAGTGCAAAAAAAATAAAAAATAAATTATGCCAAGAGGGATAAGAGTGAGATCAAATTGTTTTTGGGCTTAAAAAGGACTAAGTAAACACTATGAAGATGAACACTAGCGGTACATTGCTTCATGCGAACATGAACATATGATCCTAGTTCTGGATCTCCCTACTACCACTTGAACCTGGAACAACTGACCAAGTTTGGTCATTTTCAATTCTTTTTTTTTACCTTTAACAGGGGATATATTTAAAAAAGGTTCATCAGTAGCAAGAACTGATTAATAAGGGAACTGCGCTGCACTTTAGAAGCCATCATTGGTTTGGTCACTTCAGAAAACCAGAACATAGAGATAATATAAAAAGATTTTACTTCAAACAAATAAAAACACGATTGGATCTATAACTAAGTTAGGACTAACCTAGCTGCAATGTAAAGCATGTGGTTGATCCTCAGCATCCTCTGGAAGTCCAGGCCCAGGCGGATGGTGTCATTGTCTGACATGAGCCCCTGGAAGCTGGGGTAGAGGTACGAGGCTGCAGGGTTCACAACAAGGAGAGAAGGAAATGTTTTAGAATATATTTCAACCAAGTCTGAAAAATATGTAAATTTTAATGTTTTGTTGAAGTTTACAGTTAAAAAGTTCAAGACATACCATTAATAGGGCTTTGTAAAAGCTGTAAAAAACTATCCTCTCATGTTCTGAGAGGTTTGAAGTTCTTTATAAGTATCAGTTTCATGCAGCTGTGCAACATTTATCCACATTATTATTTGCAGGTTTAAATACCCGACTCAAGGTTAGAATCTAAAATATTCTACTTATAAAATCAAGCATTAAGTCTATGCTAATGTGCACTTGTAGAGGTGGAAAAGCAAGCAAAAAAAAAAAAAAGACATCCCAAGTTGCAAATTAGGGACTCATGTCACCAAAGTCAATCTGATTTAAATAAATGGCTTCTGGTAAGTGATTCTGAACAGACTCGTCTGGGGAGTATGCCAAGTAGAGACAAGGCAACAAAATAAAATGATTTCAATGGAGAGACTGTCTGTCTGGGTCAACCCACATTAAAATAGCAATCATCTGTTCGGAGGTCACAGGAGTTCAATTTGGTGATGTCACCAGTGCTATATAAATGGTTTAACCTTGCAAAAAACATTTTGAAATACCAAAAGAAAAAAGTACAATGCAGTTTGGGAGGAATAAGGTGCATTCTGGCATAAAAAGAAAGAAAAATCTGAATGTGCTGTTGCACAAAAATTGCAAGATAAGATGAGGCCAGGTAGACGGAGCGAATAGAAAGAGTGATACATCAGCTCCATATTCCATTAAAGTAGATTTTCATTTCTATCTTTCTCTTCAGCTGAATGTAAATTCCTTTTTCCCTTCCGACTCTTCTTAAGCAGCATATTAACTCACTGGACGCTTTAACAATGATTGATGGTGTCCAGAAGTTTAAATGACAAGATGACATTCTGTCAGTAGATTGACGTCCCTTGAAAGTACTCGGCATAAAAAAACTAACCAAAATAAAAATTAGTCAGCTTCAACACTGACACCAAGACATCATCTATATGAGAGACTTTCTCTGCTACTAAGCACATATTTAAATCTGCTAAAAAATGCTGATGATGTATCGATAAAGCCAGCATTCAGTGCTTTCCTGGCTGCTTTCTTACATGACAAAGATTGTCTACTAAAAAAGAATGTAAATACCTGAAATAGCGTCTTTACAGAGAGCAGAGAGCCTCCTTAACCAATCATGTTGACAAACAATCTTAAAGCCCAAAGTTTGTTTAAATGCTGAATATGTTGTCTAATGAACGGCCCAATTTACTTCCTAACAAATTAGGTTATATCATTATTTTTACAGGGATTTCAAGGTATCTTAGCATGAGGAAAAAGTTGGAAGCAAATCAAAGACCCTTTTTAGATGGGAAACCAATATTCATAACCTTACGGGGCCGTTTGACCCAAAATTGCTTCTGCACATTACAATAAGCAAAAGTAACATTGTGTTGCTGTGTCTAGTTTGAATATCGCATTCAACAGCAACCAACATCAATTAGTTTCAAACCTTCTAATACAACGGATATCTAAAGTGAATGTTTGTCATGGAATGTGTTGTTTTCTTTTACAGTAGTTAAAATCAGTAAATTTAAATGAAATTGATCCTGAACACCTTTTCTAAATTTTTATAATTTAAATGGTAAAGGAAGTGATAAATAAAACTCTGGAACAAATTCCAAAACCTCCAAGGCGCAAGAGACAGTGAAAACTTCTTTTTCACTTGAAGTACATGGAACCAAATTTATTAAAAGGCCACGTTTTGACTGGTGGCCTTCATTAGCATCATTATAAATAACCACACCACCACTACCACCCCTTTTACTCTAATTAGTCAAATATTTAAATTCTTCTCCACTTTTTGCTATAAACACAACTTGTGGTGATTTATCACTTTGGCCTGTCAATTCTTTTCAACTCCTTCATGGTTAAAGTTTTTACTTCACAAGTAAGATAAAAGGATCAAAGCCTCCCACAGACTCTATTTACTGTACATAAATGTCTTATATTTCATAGATTAGTGTACCACTTTCCTACATCACTATTTCTACATTCCTCTTCAGCCATGCCACCATTGTAACGGGAAGAGGAGCTAATTTGCCGAGTGGCTTTGGAAAGACAAAAGAAGGCTTATAAGCCCACCACACGCCTGTCTGTGCAACACAGAGTGGGGCATTGACACTATGTGTCCTCACGCCTGGTTATTCACAGCAGTTTGTTGCTGCCAGCTGTCACCTGGCCACATCAACTGTGTTTCAAAGTGAAAGTAATTCTATAATTTATACTTTGAATAATTCAGATAATAGTAATTTAAAATCTTGCACCATTTATTCGTATGCACATGCACTACCCATAACGGAAGTGACACACTAACTAAAGAGAGATGAAAGGGGTCGATGCTTAAAGGTGAATAGTTGCATTATAAGAGATTTTTTTTAATGACGGTAGCGCACTCCGGTTGCATACAAAGTTTGCTGAAAGAATTTCTTTTCAGTTATTTTTGTGTTTATGCTTTATTTTTGCTGAATTTAAGCTAAACTAAACTAATAGAAACTGTATACGTAAGTTAACAATGAGGGTACGATACTGGAAATGTGTGTATGGGGTAAACAAGGAAGCCCTGGGGCTAAGAAGATCAGTGAAGTTGCAAAAACATTAAAATCCAACAACCAGTGTGAAAAAGCACCCCAATAAAAACTATTAATTCCAAGACTCAAATTGCACGTTAATATATAGGGGGTGGCAGTGCACGAATACGTTAATAAACCAAAGTTAGTTGTTTCTTATTTTAAAAATCGTCAAATGACATTGTTCCTCCCCAGTTAGATTCATTACCTCATCGCTAATCGTCTTTCACATAGCCACTGGAATCAAAAATTTTGTTGTGTTTCTAGGGGACCAACTGATCAGGATTTTACCTTGCTTTGCGCTGGTCATGGGAAATGCTGTCTTCCGGCAAAACATTACAGCTTTTTTTCCACTGGGGAGGAGCCAAAATTAACTACAGGACTGCTTTAAAGGAATAGTACACCCAAAACATGATTAGCCTTCATTTTCTACTCACCCCCATGCTGAACAACACTCTGGAGTACTTTTTTGATATCTCAAATGCATCTGGAGATCTGGGAGGCTTCTTGCTGTCTGCTGACATTCAAATAATGGAGGTCTATGGCGCCCGAGACAGAAAGGTCCATAAAAGTCCACAAAAAACGTGTCAATATTCCTCCATACTGCTCGTCCAATGTATTCCAAGTGTCTTGAGTGGGTAGCATCCAGAAGAGTGTTGTTCAGCATGGGGGTGAGTAGAAAATGAAGGCTAATCATGTTTTGGGTGTACTATTCCTTGAACTAGCTGTGGCAAATTTCTGGTTTTCTGCTTGGTTTATATATATATATATATATATATATATATATATATATATATATATATATATACATATATATATTATTTTTCCATGATCTGATTGTTTTTGGTCTTTTTTCAAAGGTATGTAACCTAACCCCTTTTATTTTCTTACATTTGCACCTGCAATGCACACGTCAATAAAGATTCTAATGAAAAGGGTAAGATAAGCAGAGCAAAAGCACTTAACAAGCTTTACTTTGTAAAAAGGTGAACATGAGTCCCAATAAATGTTATGAGGATGGCCATGCCCAACAAATGTTTCTGGCTTCATTACTGAATGTATATTCATGAATCCACTGAATAATTTCAACAGATTTGAATGATTGTAGTTTTTTTTTTTTTTTTGTTTGGTCTTTACAGATTAACATTTATATTTTCTTTATGCAATTATTTTTATTGTTCATTTTTTTTATGTAATTTTACTTTCATTACTGCAATTTACTGCATATTTGTGAGTGAACAGGAGTAAAATAAAACTCTGTTGTGTAGTACTGATAGACTCTTAACACATACAATATTTGAAGTGTTTTGGACACTACATTTCCTGAGTCGTATTTCATCTCTGATCTTGCAAATAAAGAAAGTTGCAGAGGTGTTCAGTTAATATTCTGGTTTACACAGAATGCTGCCTATGCAAAGGGAACGATTAAACAGTACGCTCTGTGCTTTCAACCACTGTATAGAATTAGTTCACTGTTTCAAAGCTGTAAGCTGTTTTTAGGCAATGCAAACTAGATGAGCTGGAACATAATGTGTTCTCCCAACTTGCTTGGAGGATGTTTGATGGAAAGGACCACATAAAAGAAGAGCCATTAGATACAGTCTTTTTTTTTTTACTGCTTGCCCTTTGATCAGTCATAAAGCTGGTAGCACTAAGAGCTAGAATCCAGCTAAGAAACAAATTACCAAAAACACAGCTTTGACTTTTATGAAGGAAGATTTAGATAAATAATCTAACTTAATAGTAAGCTAGACATCTGTGTTTAGATGTTTTACTGACTTTACAGTCCATGCAATGTGACACAAATAAGTTTACGATGCAAACACAGTTTCTTCCCATTTCTCACAAGGAGAAGTCATTTCAGTTTAATTTCATAGACTTCATTCAGACAAAGTACTACGATTCATAATGGACATGTCAAAGTTGTGAGAGACCTTGTCCCCTCGTGTCACCTGCTTGAACCAGAGGTGACAAATTGCTCTCATTACACCTAGGACGGAGCTCCACATATAGTACTATTAGTGCAGCTATTTCTGCTAATGGTTGCGTTCCTCTTTTCCAGATAGATCAATTACAGCATGAGAGCTATCATCTCTGGCACCTCTTAAATCAATTATGGGCCATAATGTTGGTAGCCAAGTCCCCTTCTGTAGACCTCTTCAAAGACAGGAAGCTACAGATAAGTCTCTTGACATTATGTTAAAGACAGTGTGTCCGTGTCAAAGTGCGCAGTAAAACCTTTTTCTTAAATTTTTATTTCATAGCGGTACTTAGTTATAGATTTTTATCAGCTTCTGGCAACTGGCAGAATTCAAACCAAGTTTCATGCAATGTTTGAATATTGTGCTTGAAGACTGATTATTATTTCAATCATATTTGTGAATACATGTATTACTCTTATCATTTTTGTTACAGTTACTGTAATAGTATTTTTTATCATTCACATCATAGAAAACAAATATCCTTCATTGTTCCTCATTAGGTAAATTCAGGTGCCTCAGCAAATGGAAGGATGAAGATTCACACAAAGGTTAATCCTAATGGCAATAATGGAAAGAAGAACATGTAACAAAAGAAAAAACACTGCAGAGTCCTGACGGAAAATCATAAACCTTTTCTTTATGTTAGGGTGTGCGTTGATTTAATAATGAAAAAAAACTTAAAGCAATTAAAAATAAGTTCATTTTATCTAAAACAATAATTTTGTTAAAACATTATTTAAAATTATTGTAAAATGTTGTAAAAAAAAATTGATTTTCTGCATAAACCAATGAGCTAAAAGTCAGTTCTTATTAGGAGGTAATGAGTACATGTTTTGGAGAAACATCTTACAATGACTCATAATTTGGCTTGTTGTCCACAACCTTGTAAAAAAAAACACAGAAAAAATGAAACACTTCAAGTTTATCAAACAGAAGGAACAGCAGAGGAAAGTTGTGATGCAAATTTTAAAAAACCGTGCATAGATGCAAAACGTTTTAACCAAAAAGCTATTTCATTTCATATTTAGTGTAGGGTGTTTTAACTGCACTGGTTTGAAATCAGAGTTTGTGGTCAGATTCTGATTATTAGTTTTTTTTTTTTAACACTGCAATGATTTTAATATTAAAAGGAAACAATAACTCATTAAAATATTTTAAAGAAGGATGACTAAACTCCACAAATGTACTTTCAACAAACAGCCTTAAACACATTTCACTAAGAAATGCCTCCTGCTGATGATGTATAATCCCTTGGGGACCCTCCGCTTGCTTCACAATTACTCCCTCAACAATGTTCACCATGGCAACACAGCTTATTTTCAACTTACTTTCTCTGCCCACAATGCTGATTGGTTCTAGGTCTTGGGGAAATGGTGCAGCTCCTGAGGACAGCTGAGGTAAAAAGGCGGCTAAGGTGAGAGCCAGAAAGGCTGGCAGGACGGGTCGAGGCGATCCGGACGTCAGCGTCATGTTGGCAAAAGAGGAGACCTTACTGGAAACACATGGTCAACACCAGACTCCCCCGACGCACCTAAAAAGAGACACAAAATTGTTCAAATCCATATCAAACTGAAGGGAATTAAACTGGATTAGTCATAATTGTGTTTCTTTATTTTTATATTTCAGTTAGGTGGATGAAACTAAACCAAATAAAAGAAGCTACAGAAAACACCCTCTCACACAATTCAATGGGAAGATGGAATTGAGCATCCGCTAACCTGTAGACATAAAAAGCTAACAAAAATAAAATCAAAGTGGGTGGATAGATGTCAGATAAGTACTGTACCATCAACAATTACAAGCTTGCAAGAAGCAGTTTGTGTGATCAAATGCAACATTCGCCACATATAAATGTCTTTTATAGCAGACACTTTACAGTTATGACCTTTCATAACAACATCCTGATGGCTCTTGATATACCTCTAGTGTGATCACTGCGCTCAGAGGAAGTCTATTAAAAAGACCAAATACATTACTGACATGACAAATGTGCACACCATGCACATAAGTTTATATTCTAACACATATTACATCCAAGGGGTTCTCTGAAAACGTAATGTTGCAAACACTGATAAAACCATTAGGATTTATTTCCAATATATTATTTAGTTGTAATGTTTAGACAAAATATTGCTGTACATGATCTTTTAAAAACAACTCCAAGATAATACATGGATCAGCAAATAGCTGTTCTAAAGCTTTGCTTACAACTCAACAAGGTCACTTTAGAGAAATTGAGGAAGTAGGTTTCTCTTTTATATTAAACACTTATATGTGTAAAACAAAATGTGCATCAGACTATTACTTAAGGAGTCTAGGCAGCAGATAAAGGGAATTTAATTCTGCAGCAGCGGATGCAAAGTTCAGCATTGTTTTTTGCAGACTGAGTGAGCACCAAAGGGTTTATATGGTCCACTCATTGTAAGCTGCAGGTCATGAACCATGGAGATAGGAAAGTGTAACCACACTAATGACTTCTGAGTCAGCCTGAACTAAAACCCCAATTCATTCCTGGAGCATGGCAGCTGGGAGAAACAAAAAGGCTCCGAGCTAGAAATGTCAAAGTTTGGAAAATAAAAAACATCAAAACTTGGTAGCAGTTCTCAATAACTTTAACATAAATGGAGCAAAACTGAATCGTACAGAACACCAAGAAATATGTGGATAACTTGTGGTATTTATTAAAGGTATAGTGGAGGATGTTCTTTTTCCAGATGGATCATCAAAATAAGGTGTCCTCCTAATTGTCAATCATTCTTGTGATATGTTTACCTCACCGATGGTGAGTCTGACATAATGGAAAAATTGCAAATCTTCTTTTGGAAAGTAAGCTTGAATGAGGGATGCAAACAGCAACTTTTAAATAGAGCGTTCATGAGGAGAAATGGACTTGTGCATGATCTTGCACGCGTTTAATAGGCGTTTTCTCTCAGGAGCAGGTACAGGGTTGTTTATTTATTTATTCATTTTTAAGTGGAGAAGGCAGGACTTTTCAAAAATTTGCAAAAATCCCCCACTATACCTTTAAGTTTTTAGGCAGGGGATATAGCAGTTTCTCTTCATTTAGAAACTCCCAAACTAATTCTCATCTTAGTATGCTTCATTAATTACTGTAACCTCCCAATGCTAAATACCTGGAAGCTAACAGTGCTCATTCTTATTACTAATTGTGCTTTGATTGCTACCAAACTAGTTAAAGGAACACCGTATTAGCATCAAATTTCCTTATTTTCAGTTACATTGTTTTAGCTAATGATATCTGTGTTCAGAATCTAATAAAGTTTATTAATTTTATAAAAATGAAAGACTGACTTCCACACTACAATTATCATAAAATCTTTAATCTAAAAAGCAACAATAGGACATCTACATATTTTGGACTCTTTTTAAAAACAAAAAATAAAACCAAGTATGCATATTTTATTGTTATTTTACAGTGTTTAACTTAAAAAAAAAAAAAAAGTTGCCCTTTTGAAATTTGTAAATTCAAGTGAAGATGTTGTTGCTGTGTGCCAAACCAAAACCATGAAATGATAAATGTGCTCAATTTTGATGACTGAACCTAAACAGCTAAAGACAAATACTGTTTTTCCACATAAGTATTGAAGATGTGTATCTGTAAGTCTGAATATGTACGTTTGATTGATCAGCACAAAGAGAACATGAAACTGAGATTCCAAATTGAATGAACCAATGAAAAAACAATAGATTTTGAGGTAGAAAATGATCAACCTTTAATCCAAAATATTCTCTTTTTTAATTATTCAATTCTTCAGTTAATAGCCATTTAAAAACAACAACAACAACAATTGAATAGAATGAGGATAATCAAATAGTTTTCTTCAGGACTATAGATGATTCAAGTGATTTAAATGTTGCAAGACCTAAAAAGGTACAGAAAATGTATATAAAAATAAGGAAGGTAGATGAGTTAAAATAAGGGGGTTTTAAATTACAGCTCAGCTGTAAACTGTGATGACAGCATTCATGGCAAAACAATGAGTCAGGTTACTGCTTTTACAGATTTATGCACTTTAATCCTTCGGTCACATGTTTTAGGTAAATGAAGAATATAAGCCCACAAAGTAAGCCAAAAATATAATCTATACTGAGAAGATTTACTTAATTGAAATGTAGGAGAGAACACTGCATTTAGAAGTGAAGCCAAGCAATAATTACAACCTTATAAACAGATATAAAGCTGGAGGGAGGCTGGGTGTGTTTACTTTGTGAATTACAATGGTTAGGGCTGCCTTAGCCAATAAATGAGGGTAATATATCTGTTAGGTTAGCCTCATATGCAATGGTTTGCTTCCCCTTGCCTAATAATGCAGCCATTTTTACAAAGGCATGGTGGAATTATTCAGCGAAATAAGTCAACACTGAACATCTCCTTAAATGTCTAAAGCAACCAGTGGAATTAGCTTATGTGCATCCTTAAAGTGCTATAAAACAGAAGATAAACATGAGTGCAAATATCAAAAAGATCCACAGAATACAAGCAACTTCATTTATTAAAATGCACCAGCAGCCTCCATGTGCAGCACATCCAGGGAACATTATTTTCTCATGAGGAAAGCAGAAATCAGACTAAACTCCCTGACAACCTCCCTAACTCAGGGAACACAGCCAGCAGACAATGATGCATGCAAAACAAGACAAACAGTGAACACAATGACTTACTCAACACCAGGGGCGGATTTAGGAAATTTGGGGCCCTAGGCAAACAGGCAGGGGGCCCCCTGAGAAGAAAACCCATAAAAGAGACCCATTCTACAGATAGAGAAATGTTAATAGAATAGACATCCATTATTTGTTCTAGGTTTTGTCCCTCTCTTCTTGTCCCTTTTTCCTCTCTATTTATCAGCATTCTGATGGCATTTTAGCCAAAGGATTTTTATCAAAAACATAATTAATGTGCACAAATAAGGAATAGTTCTATTAACTATACATGTAAACAGAGTTTTATGGGGCCCCCAGGAACTTGGGGCCCTAGGCAACTGCCTAGTATTGCCTAATGGTAAATCCCCCCCTGCTCAACACCATACTACACTCTTCAAAAGAGTTTTTTTTTTAGGAAATATCAGCAACATGTTTCATTTGTATGCATCTCTGTTTCAAATTGTTTATTTTATAATGTGAGATTTACCACAAGGAGGATATTGTGAAGGGCTTATCTTAGGGATGCATTAAAGCCCCTGATTATGATTTCATTGCAAATTTAGAAGAAACCTTTAGCAAGGGCAAAGAAAACACAATGGTTGATTTTAACACCCACAGTCTGTTATAAACAAACAAAACAGCCTTTAGAAGGCTGTTACAAAACGCATCCCATATAAGGAGATATATTAGTCCTCAACACATCTGTCCTGAGTTCAAATCAAGTTTATGTGGAAAACAAGGAGCTGCAAATGACCCAAAGATCTGCTCAAACATAAAGAAGACCAGACAAACACATATTTATAGACACCAAAGCAGATTTTAAAACAGATTATATACTGCTGCACTGCAAAGGAAACTTCAAATATAAAAAAGTGAAAAAAGCCTATATCGAAATTCAACATAGAGGTTATGTCTGTCACATTTACCCTCTTGGGTCTAAATGGTTGCCATAGAAACAGATAAGCTGCGAAGATACCCTGTTTACCTGCCATGTAAATGCATTACTGAAACAGCCCCCAGTGGAAGTCTTAACTTTCTTAATTCATCCTAACAGAGAGTCGATGGGTTAATGACTGCATGTCTGAAGAGGGAGTGGGAGGCTGATGAGCTGACAGCTGTCAACGGGAAATAAGCCACCGCTTATCCCATCCACAGCCTGCTCTCTGTACTCACAGGTTTGGGAGGGAGGGCTCCAATCGTTCACTTTTTAATGAACTGGACTCGTTAAGCCATCCTGGAGACATTGACAGTTGTACCACTTTAGAGGATAAAGGTTTCTGGGATACAGGGACGTCCGATTGATTATCTTACATTCACATTGACCAACAGCAAACCTTTTATCTGTGGGGTGATATGATGTACTTAGAAAAAAAAACGAGGCATTTCACCTAAAGCAGGACCGCTCTCTGGTCTTTGTAGGTAAATTTCGCAGGCAAAAGACCGGTCTTAGAAGGAAGGACATAATTTATGTCAAAAATCCGTAGTGGCGTACATGTCTGCAGTACAAACTGCAGTATAAATCAGCTTCTTGAGTTCTTCAGTTCCTTCTGTTGGATGCTACCTACCAAGCGGTTGTTTCAGAAGCATGGCAGGGAAGGTTTACTAAATGCTACTGAGACTGCACCTAGAACTCTTTAAATGTGACTAAGATTGAGTTTTTCATATCAAAAACTCAAGGCAGGTCTGGTAAGGAACAAAAGATTAATATATGGCCCCCTGATATGCATTGTAACACATGTGGCATGTTGTAGGCCCCTTTCTCTTCCAAAAGACCCAGTAATGTTAGTGATGGTATGGCATCGTGCAAATGCCAGGACATTTTCAAGAACAATCTGACAGGTTCTGCCAGAAAACTCAAAGTGGATTGTT